TTGGTATATCACAATACAAAATGCAATGAAAATTACCCAAGAAAAAAAATGTGATCGAGGAAGTAAAAAATCGGGCCTTTTTCCACTTTTGCGAAAGAGTTAAGGCAAATCGTCTGGCAGTCGCGGGCTTCGCTGTGATGGCGCATTCACAGAAGGCGAGCCCAGAGGCCGGAACGAAGTCCACGACGCGGAGCCGGGGCCGACGCTACGAGCTATCAGCTGTTCCGGGCATCTCCAAGAGCGGACACTTCGGGCTGTAGAATAGTGACCTCTGGACAGTGGCTGCAGACCCTTGTCCATCAGGTCATCGCCATCCTGGCGGAGATGCTGTTATGAACTCACGACACGCTGGGCAGTGCTCTCTCACCACTCTCTCTGGTGTTACTCCAAGAGACACTGACGCATCCTTCATGCACACAGAGGCGTCCGTCAGAAACGCTCGACGCATCCCTCAGAAACACTGCGCGTTCAACAGAGAGGGTGGTGCACTCCTCTTCAAGCGTCTCAGCGCCTATAAAAGGTCCGCGCATCTGGCGCCGAGGGCTTCCTTGTCCACGTTTTGTACATACATTATAAATAGAAACGTTTTGCTTTGTTTCCTACTGGCTGCCTTTTGCCTTGGCCCTGCCTGGATGCTCCCTGCCCGGCGTTGGCCCTCGCGACACGCTACCCAAGAAGACCGGCGAGGCCTCCCTCTTCATAACAACCCCAGGACATCAAATAACTTCATTTTCTTATACTGACAACAACGCAACAAGGGACGATTTTCTTGCCATCATTTGGTACAGTCACATTCAACCAAAAACACAGTGCCAGTATAGCTGCACTATGGAACCAAAGAAAATAAAAGGTGGGGGGGGGGGGGGGGGCAGAGCCAATGCAAGCATTTTTGTATTGCAACCCCAATAGAAAAAGTGCTGCATGAAACACTAATGTTTGCATTCTTTATTTCTACAATTGTTACTGCAGCAAGTTTTTCTTGAAAGAACAATTTCAAGCAATTATTGGCTGCATGAGTATTCATAGTAGCCCCTACCTACCTTTTGCTAATTTATTTATACACGAATTGTGAAAATTGTGTTAGAAGAAATGTAAGTTATCTTGCTGCTCAGGCCTATCGGATGAAATTTCTGTACACCTGTACCCCAAGATGTCATCCGAAAAATATTCGGGAACTGTAGAACTAAATGCATAAGGGTAAATGAGCTAGCAATTAACTAATGCAATACAATGAAACATTTTTTTAAAACAGCAGCAAAACTAGAGAATTCAGAGTCTTCTCTGAAATCTGACCTAGACAAACATACAGCATGAAAAACGAGGAAACCAGCAACGCGACAGATCCATATGTCACTGTGAACAAAGAAGCACACAAGCAGCTACTAGAACATCTATAGGGAGCTTGCATGAAGGGTGACGACGCTATGCACACTGGGTAGGCAGCCATTTTTTTTGTAAGAGGCGGTAGGGCGAGTGCAGCAGAGCAGTCGTATTTGCGAGCGTTGGCGTAGCTTGCAGGCGTGATCGAGTGCGAGCGCTACGCAAATTTGACTCCAAGAAGTGTCGTGCACAATGGCAGCCTAAACGGAAGACTACACCGTAACGCTGTGCCAGAAATACCTCGAGCGGTACGGAGAAGAGACGAGAGTTTGCTCTGAGTGAACCCATTCTCGCTTCGTGCGGACTGTGTAAGCGACGTACACTTGCAGCCGCGTGTTGACAACTCCAATATTAACGAATTTCTCGTTTCGAGGACGAGTTTGATTACCCGAGAGCTGTTGAAGTCGAGAAAGGCAATTAAGGGCCACAACTTTGTAACGAGTGGCTGATTGTGGAAGCTGCAAGTGAAAAAATTGGCCGCCGATACCGTAATCGTCGTGACTCAAGTAAGAGGTGTTAAATTACTTGATTTTGCCGTATATGCTAATGTTTTTCTGTTCAGGTTAAACTCGGTGTGTTGCCAAGCTCCCCGTCGATGTCTTGTTCATGGGCAAGAGTGATGGCGAGGTCCTTTCCACACACTGCACATGCATGGCCGGGAACAGCGAAGCCTGCTCGCATCCCACTGTGCTGTTATTCTACGTGGAGTACGACGCACCTGCACGAGAAGAGCGCTCCTCAATTTAACACGTCTTACTTGAATGACGACGACGACTGTGCCGGCGGCGACTTTCTTCACTCACGGCTCCCGCACCCAACCACTCTTCACAAATTTGTGGCCCTTAAGGACTTTTCTGGGCTTCATCTGCTCCAGAGTTTTCAAACTCGTCCTTGAAACGAAAAATTCATGAATATCGGAGCTGTCGACGTGCGACTGCAAGTGCACGTCACTTACACAGTACAAAGCGTGAATGGGTCCACTCGAAGCAAATTCTCGTCTATTCTTCGTACCGCTCGAGGTCTTTTTGGCACAGCGGTGCAGTGTAGTTTTCCGGTGAGGCTGACATCGTGCACGACACTTCTTGGAGTCAAATTTGCGTCGCGCTCGCACTCGATCACGCCTGCAAGCTACGCCAACACTCGCAAACACGACTGCTCTGCTGCACTCCCCCTACCGCCTCTGACAAAAAATGGCTGCCTAGAGTCCATAGCGTCGCCGCCGTTCATGCAAGCTCCCTATAACTGACAAGAAAATGTGAAGCTCGAGATCTGGCACAATTTGGCAGCAGGCTGCTACAACCTCTCTAAACTCACCCCCAATGAGACATGCCCTATACCATGCCAAACACAGAAAGCAAAAGCACAGGGAAGCAAGAAGGCAAAGAAATTGCAATAATAGCAAAAGTTGGGTTAGTTGGTGGTGCATGCTTAATATGTAAAAACAGCGCAAAAAATATAGACAAGGACAGAGGAAGCGACGACACCGCGCTGAACTCGCAACTAAACTTTATTGGAAGACACACGCACATATATCATGCAGTCAATCCGGTCTCGTGGCAAAGCAAAGGCGTCTGCACAGCATAGCAAACAAGGTACGAAACGTGTCTAATCATAGTGAACAGCAACACGTGTGTAACAATCGTGAAAAAGCAAAAAAACACACCTTCATACTCTCCAAAAACATACGCAACAGTCTGTAACAAACTAATGATCACTTTAACACGGCAGTGATGAACCCAGATACCGAACCTCCATTCGGAACCTTCAAATTCGGTACCTGGGTTCAGCGCTGCCGTGTTTAGGTGATTATTAGTTTGTTACCGACTGTTGTGTATGTTTTTAGCAAGTATGAAGGTGTGTCTTTTGCTTTTTCACGATTGTTACACACGTGTTACTATTCACTAAAATTAAGCATGTTTTGTACCTTGTTTGCTATGCTGCACAGACACCTTTGGTTTGCCATGAGACCTGGTCGACTGCATGATATATGTGTGTGCGTGTCTTCCAATAAAGTTTAGTTGCGAGTTCAGCGCGGTGTCTCTTTCTCTGTCTATATGTTTTGCACCGTTTTTACATCCCAAGTCAGCAAACAAATTACTCAATCAAAGGCTGCGAATGCATTAGATAGAACATGCATAATATTATCAACCTATTCAACTTTGTAGGATAGCTGGTTAGTGTTCTTTAACGAAAATGACAGACCTGCAATACACCAACAAATGAAGCTCTACTGCACAAAAGAAGGTGGACAATGTCATTATTTTGCATACATCTGCATTAGATGAGACACTTCCCCAATTACTCTAGTACATAAAATATTTGATGTGAAAAGAATAGAGCAGGTTAATATAGCAAAAAAGCTATCCTGCTCTCATCATGGTGGATGAGCATGAAATCAACACGGTGTGCTCCAACAGGCTGTGAAGGACAACTACGGGGACATTTAAAGGCAATGCTCTTTTCAAGGCTCACCCCTATAGTAGGCTTAGGCACCACTCTTCAATGCCAACTGTTTTCGTTGATAAGATCCCGACAATGTCAGCGACCCATCATTCTGACCACCGGCCAAACACGCAGCACAAATGCTACAAAATACTGCTTGTAGCACTACTTGTGATCTGGCCTCTCCAAGCAATGATCGGCACATTTATTTTTGCACAGTTTTAGACAGTTTTCATAAATACATGATATGTAACAAGTTCTGCATGAAATTTGCTGAAGCATGCTGTAAATCAATGCTTCAAGTCATCCAATACTGCGGGGCACGCTTTAAGAGCCCAATGCTGGATCATGCACAATGTGGCGAGATTTTCAGCCCAGAATTTAGCCCTAATAGTGGGGAACACTGCGAAGGAGTACGGATAGAATCACTTCTCTAGAGTGCCTGGCTGTCGACACTGTTGTTGGCCGCAGCGTCTACCTCGCGTTTGCTACAAGCTTCCGTTCATGCTTGGTACCATTATGGCTTTGGTCATTGCATATTTTTGCAGAAAACAGTATCTGCAGTGACCGGCAGAGCACTCCACACAAGCGTGATTCCGTCTGTACACATGAAGAAAATTTTGCTGCCACTGCAGCTTCTAATGCCACAGCATTCACTACACGCAAATGTGATACGCACTATGTGCCGCATCGTACAGTTGTAATCGCACTTCTCTACAGCGGTCGGGCACATGGCTGTGCATGCTGGTGTCTGTATCTGCGACATCACATTGTCTACGCTTGAATTATAGTGCAAGGGCCTGGTGCAACTAAGACTATATTTGGTATCATCACTGTGTTGGTCTCAACAGACTTCTGCAAAAACCAGCAGCAGAAGTGGCAGAATGCTGTAGACAACCGTGGTTCCCACAGTATAAAGACGTTATTGGGCAAGTCAACGTATAGGTCGAGCTGCAAATCAATCTACCTTAAACAGCAGTTGTTGTGCAAGGTGTCACGAATGAGCACAGCACCCACCTGCCAGCAGAATACTCGACAGCTGAAACTTCACTAAACCCGCAGAGCGTTGGCCAAGGTGTGGCGGCGTTCCATGGAGCAGGGCTCGCGGCGGCCGGGCGAGGCCTGCTCCACGGCGCGTGGCCAACCGGCGCGCGCAAAGTAGGCGTGCCTGCACTCACCGCAGGGTCTCGCTGAAAGATGACAACCCGGCCACCCTTGTCGCCTGTCGCCAGCAGGTCGCCGTCATGGTTGAACTCCACGCACGAAATTATGTCCGCTGCACGGATAGCAATCGGTTGCTTACCGTCTACAGCGTGGAAAAAGCGCGCGCCAAACAAAAAGATCAGGCACCCATGCTTCACAGCAGACAGCAGAGAACACACAAGAAACGACAAGCAAACAGAAACGCGTAGTGATGCACACGTAGCTACGAACGAAAACGTTACGCCGGTACACTTCAAAGCGTCCGCGACATCATCGAAAAAAGCCGGCCGCGGGGCCAAGGTCACTTTTAGCGTCCCCCGCCTTTCATCAAAGAAAGGTCTGTAACCGCGCCCAGAGACCGTCCTAAGCTCCTTCCGATATTTCCATCGAATGCCTCTCTCCGAGCTACCGTAGCAAAGACATCGCCAAACCAGGACAGCACTTAGCGGCGAGTCAATATCGGTACATGCAAAAGCGTGCAACATGCAATATAAAGCACGGTAAACAAAAATACATTCACAATAACAGCTCAAAGACAAGCAGCACAGGCCACCACGAAAAGCGAGATAAAGCGCAACGCCAAGTTTTCCACGAACTTCTGAAAATTTGACCGCTGCTTAGGCCTTGCATTACGGTAGCAATTCACTCACCTTCGGTTACATCATCGTCTAACGTCCCCTTCACTTGAGAAAAACACCACTGAATATCTCCATTACCTGAAATCACGAACAAATATCCACAATGAAAAGCTTGATGACTTTTCGTCGCTGGCCGGCGTCAAAGCGATTGCCATTTTAGAAGAAGCACAGTGGAGCTGAGTTTTAAATGAGAAACACACATTTACCTGCCATTACGGCCACAATAAATAACGCAAAAAGTTCTTTGTACTTCTTGAAAAATTAACTAAAAGTGTCAGACGCCTTTAGACACGAAAATTTCATTCGATGGCCTTAGATTCACAAACCAATTGTAGAAAAAGATTTCAAGATGGCACACTGTCCAACAGTAGCGCCAAAATAACGTCACATCGCAATGCACACCGGGAAGGGTATCTTTTTTGAGTATTTTTATCGCAGGGTCGTTCCAGCCGGACGAAACGCCGACAGACAAGACCCTCAAAACACAAATTTTAAGTTGTAACTTCGTAAGTAAGAATAAAAAAAAGTAAAGTCGGCAACCCGCGTACAGCACTGCGAGGAACAAATAACCACAAGTTTCGAATCGGCATCAGAAAGAAGACGTTTTTCTCAATAAGCAAGGATGGCAAGCAGGGTGCGGCGATTATCGGGATGCGCGATAGTTAAAAGCGGGTAGTACAAAAAACAGCTTTCTACTGCTAGTGATGCCCAATCAATCGATTGTACGGGAATGGCAAAGAAGAAATAAAGGAGGGGCGGGGAGGTGCGTCGGATAGCATTTCCAACAGCGGCAGCCCACCTGATAAAGCGCTCTCCGCCGAGTCTTCGCTCGACAAAACACTCTTGTCTGAATCCTTGCGTAGTAGCTGGACATTTAGATCGGCGAAGACAGCTTTCGCCAGCCATGACATCTCACGAGCACGCACATCTCGAGGAAACGCGCGTGCATCAGGTTACTGTGGGATACTTACGCCATCGAAACGTCAAATAAAGACGACGACGTGTCAAAGTGTATTTTATTTTAATGTCAATGTTGCACATCCAGGCCCTTTACGTTCATCGTTAATTACTGCCACCGATTTCTTCGTTCGCCCTTGCAATGCTAAGTTGTCGGGAGCAAATACACAAATTTACCGAGACACGCTAGGTGCGCGTGCTGCGTTTTCAACTGTGCGTCGCCTCGAAGCCGGCATTCGTCACAGCCTTATCAGGGAGTCCGGTTGTGAACGTATGGCGGCGGACAAAGGAGGTATTTTTTACGCGGCGTACGTGACGGGCTAGCGAAGATAAGATGCACGCCTCCTGAACAGCTGAGCGAAAGGCAGGTGCACCGAACAGCTGATAGACGGCAGCAGACGCCGCGATGCGTGTGTGCGGAAAATGTGTTGGCGGCTAGATTGGTGGCTTTTGCTTACCAAGGTGGAACACCACCGACTCGTGGTAATCGAGATGTTTGTCGGTCCGGTTAAACATTAGACGTGGGGGGAGAGGCAGAGTGTTGTGCCGGTGCAAAGGGTGTTGCTGGCGTCAAGGCCGCCGCCACCTAGCGTGGAGCGCACAAAAAAAATGCACTTGCTATATCACGTGATAGGACCGCCATCGCTCATGTCGTGTGGATAAGTGCTTGCAACTGTGCACTACTTATTTGTGCGGCCCTCGTCGAAAGTGCCAGCGGAGCTTCCGGCCCGATCCGTCCGAGCACCATGAATATGCCGTGGAAGATCAAGGAGCTGGTGGATAAAGCGTAAGTAGGTCGTCGGCCGGCCACCGATTCCAGCTGTCGGGTAGGCCTAGGCTGGCGCCGCCGCCGGGGAGGTTTTTTCCTGTCGACTGACGATCCCTCTTTGCGCAGCACCAACATGGTGATGAATTACACCGAGATGGAGGCCAAGGTGCGCGAGGCGACCAACGACGTAGCCTGGGGTCCGCCGGGCCAGCTGATGCAGGAGATCGCGCAGGCAACCTTCTCGTACGATCACTTTCCTGAGGTGATGGGCATGCTGTGGAAGCGGATTCTGCAGGACAACAAGCGCTGTTACCGGCGGCCTTACAAGGGTCTGCTTCTACTCGACTATCTAGTGCGAAACGGTTCCGAGAGGGTGGTCACCTCTGCGCGGGAGCACATCTACGACCTTCGAAGTCTAGAGAACTATTCGTTTATCGACGAGATCGGAAAGGATCAGGGCGTCAATGTGCGCCAGAAAGTGAAAGACCTCATCGACTTTATTCAAGACGATGAGAGGCTACGCGAAGAGCGCAAGAAAGCGAAAAAGGCCAAGGACAAGTACATCGGCTTGTCCGGCGAGTCTCTGGGCTTCAGGTACAGCGACCGGAACAAGTTCGACGATATGGACCACGGGTCGCGCCTCGGCCGCCGGCACAGTTTCGAGGACTCGCCTGACAACAGCAACGACGAGGAACGCGACGAGCGGCCAGGCGGGGGCGTCACGTATCGCGACGAGCCTCGGACACCCAGCTGGAAGCCGCAAGCCAAGAAGCTGGACATGGGCGCCGCCGCGACCTATGGCCGGGAGGCTTCGCCGCCCGCTAGCCCGGCCGCCGCGCCGAGTGTCCCAGCAGCAGGCGACTTGCTGGGCGACATCGCCAGCGCACCGACTACCACAACGCCGACCGCCAACGGCGACTTCGCCGACTTCAGCCAATTCCAAAGCGCTGCGGCACCCCCGCCCAGGTAGGCTAACCTCATTGCCGATGGCGGCCGGCGTCATAGCTTGTCTTCTTTTGCAGCGCCCAAGACGAATTCACGGACTTCGCATCCTTCGCGTCGTCGAGCAGCATTCCAAGTGGCCTGATCGACCTGCCCGTGCAGGCGACGAGCGTCCAACCAAGTCTGCATACAACTCCCAGTGCACCCCCTGTTCTACCAGTGCAGCCTACTCTGCACACGAATCCTCAACCTATGCTACAGGCGAGCCCACTGGCAGGACTGCAGCCGGTGATAGCTGCCAGTCCACTGGTAGGCATGCCGCAGACCAGCCCCATGTCCCCAATACAAGCAACTCTTCAAACGAGTCCCCTCCCCAGTTTACAATCTCCAGGTGCTGGCATGATCGGCCTCCCAATGGGCTTTCCTGTGGCAGCACAGCCATCTGGCTTTCACTTGGGCTACCCCATCTCGCCCCAAGCTAGCCTTCCCTTCCAAGGGTTACCAGGCCTTGTGCGGCAGCCTAGCCCTGGCTGCACACCTCTCTCGCCAAGTCCTGCTGGAGCATCACCGTGCATACTAGGGGGACCAGTAGGTGGCCAAACACCACAAGGAAAGTGTGGGAAAACGTGGGTGGACTCTGGCAGTATAAATATCAGTGTGGACAACCTCAGCCTGACCAGCAAGTATGCAAAACCAGCGGCACCTTCTATGAACCAGCTGGCAGCAGGTAGCTCTTTGGGACGACTGCAGTGAGATTTCCATGGCAGGAATCTCGAGCAGGGTGGGGCTCCAGCCCCCGGGGGAGCTCGTGCTGGTCACATATCATGTGCGGGGCGTCTCTGCCCCTGGACCGGTGCTTGTCTTCCATTGTTTCCCCCCTCCCGTAACCCAGGACAGGCAGAGAAAATTGCGCTCAAGTGACACTGTGGACGACCCCGGGCTGAATAAAGCAATAGAACAAAGCAGCTCCAGGGCCAGCCTGCCTCCCCTCGATGGCCGTATATTTTTAATAAAAGCCTGGCCACTTGTTGATCTGTGTCTGTGGCACTAGTGACTCTTGGGGGGCTGCTGTTGCTGAGTCTTCTGTTGAGCCTGCAGGCGCTCCAATTTCTCCAGGCTAATGCTCTGCAGAGGCATCAGCTTGGGCTTGCACAGGACTGGCTGTGCACTGGTCTCGCGGAACAGGAGCCCTCGGCTGGGCACCACTTCATGAACCGCTGCTCCTGCAGAATTGGAGCCAAGTTGGGGGACGGTGGGCTTTACAGCTGCTTATCTTGCACATAATGGTAACAGCTATGTCAGTTTGCCTGCAACATCCACTGCTGCTGTAGAAGTCACTTAATACTAGTGAGCAGTATCTAGTGGCTTCTAAAGCTGCACGCCTCTTTTTGTTAGACCCATGACATTTCATCTGAAGTATAAAATATAGCTGCTCCAGCAAACATGTTTTGACTATGCAACCCATTCAAAATAAACTGATACAGTAACGTTTTAGCCAGTGTTATGAACAGAAAAATTGGACTGGTAATTCTGCCCTGTCTAGTGAAACAAATTACTAGATTTACTATAAAATTGACTCGACACCTGTTTCAAACCAAAAGCTATGCCTTCATAGAACAAGCATTTCAAAATGCATGTCGAATTTTTTTTTTTTTTTTGCAGCACAGTTGGCTAAAAAAATTAAAAAGTTAGCCTGTAATACTTCTATTAGACGGGTCAGCCACTAGTGATTCTTTTACATACGCGTAAATCTAAACAGTGGCCTCAAGCATATTGCATCCACTGAGACAGGCATAAAGACGGGGCGTGCAAACAAATGGTGTTGACATTATCGTCCGTCCTTGCTCGTAGGAAGAGTACATCGACTTGACAGATTAAACGGGAATCGATTTCGAAGACCGGAACTGACCGTGTCTATGAGAGCTTGTTCCACTGTCAGCAGACCGAATGGGTCAAGGCTTGACATGCATCGGTTAAAAACACTTCGGGTACCGTGACACCACTGCCCGGAAAATCTCAAGTTCGGCTGGTACCGCGATGCTGCGCAGGTAGAGGGAATCTCATTGACCCACAATTTTCGTTACTTGGACAAAGACCTAAGTTGCAGTTCGACAAAATCGGCGACGACTGTATCAGGAACAGCGGTATCCACACGTGAGCCAAATTATAAATTCAAAATGCATTCGGATGCGTGCTACATACGGCTTACGCAAGGATTACGCTGACAGCTGACCCAAATAAGGGCAATGATGTAAGAAGCGTTAGCACACGCGGTTCAACATTTATAACACGAAGCTCGCCCCCTTTCAGAGCACAATCCTAAAACGCTATTTGCTGTAACGCGGAACCAAAACCGAGCAGCCGGGTTGACATGCCAACGAGCACGCGTCGAAGGCGGTCGACGTTCGCCGCGAAATGCCAGGCTACGTGACCTATATTTTCGCCCTTTCACAGCACACGCATGCATGTTCGCGACCGAAAATTGGCATTAAATAATACATTCGATAATAGTCGTACCAAACATTCCAAAAGGAGTCGGATGTTATAACGCGAAGGAACAAACCGAACACGCCTCTTCCGTGTAAACAAAACCGTAACCGTAACAACCAAGCTATCGCCACATTAAAAAACGATGATGGTAGTGGTGTTGCGGCTGACGACAGGTGACTCGACCAGATGAGTAGAAAATTTGGGTGACTTTAAAGTACCGGCACAATTTTCAAGGCGCGATAACTTAAAGGATAGATTGGTGTGGACACCCAAGCATAATTTGTGAACTATCAATGGATTGATTGATATGCCGGCTTTAACGTCCCAAAACCACCATATGATTATGAGAGACGCCGTACAGAAATTTCGACCACCTAGGGTTCTTTAACGTGCACCCAAATCTGAGCACACGGGCCAACAGCATTTTAGCCTTTATCAACAATGCAGCCGAGATTCGATCCCGCGACCTGCGGGTCAGCAGCCGAGTACCTTAGCCACTAGACCAGCGCGGCGGGCCAGTGTCTTTGGATAAGACTAACACATATTTACAATCAATTTTAAAATGCGTGACGTGTCATTGCATGCGAAACGCGCCTGTCGTTTTGGTGTTCTACTACACTTGTGTAAACAACCAACCTTCCCATGCATCGCCTTACGTCATGGTTCTTGCGAGCGTTCTCTCCTAGCAGACATTGTCAACGGAAAGCGGCATAGAGTTTCACACAAATAATACATGAAACTCTATGGAAAAAGAGAACAGGCTTGCACGGGAGTACAAAGTATGAACTCCTTGCCTCGACAGTGCATTTTTGGGGGGTTCACGCATATTTTACACGCCTCAGCAATAAAGTTATTTTAATCAATCAGCAGGAAGCCGTAGTTGGAAAGGGTTGTTAACACGGTGTTCCTTGGGCGATATAAAACCACCTCCAAACAATTGACCATCGCGCGTTGAAGCGAACGAGCATTCCAGCAGTGAGAAGTGCAATTTTAGCTACATACTAAAACAGAAAAGGAAGACACGATGCAAAATTTTTGTGTCACGCTTTACCGCGCTTTATATCTGAGATTAATTGGGGCATCTACGAAAAACTTACGGAACTGACAGCAATTAAAACTGTTTGGAAAGAGAATGCTGCATTTTGCAGAAAATGCAGGCGTTCTGACGGTACACGCAGGGTACCAACGTTACTAGAATGGTACAGATTACTACTAGCTACTACCAAAAAACCCTAAAATGTCGCCTTTGTTTACCCCAAAATAAAGTCCCTCAATAAATTATGGAGGGACCTTACCCCAAAATCGATCGCAGCGCTTACAGTGGCTTTTTTTGGGTGCGCGTTGCGTGAGGAGCCACAGGGTTATTGGGTTTACTAACCGCATTACTGGGACAGGGTCTAGGGCATGGGTGCATAAAAGAGGAAATGGGCATGAGCCTGTGAGCCATGCATTACAACTGCTGGAGCTAAGCGCGAGGGTCCTGTTATAAGTTTGGTTCGGAGTTTAAATGCACTGGCGTCTGTTATGCACGCGATTCAGTTACTCAAGCCAAGAAGGTCATGAGCTGGTGAGTGAAACATCTTGCAGCAGTGCGCTTTCTGAGTTAACTTAAAGATCCGACTTCAGAAGTTTGAAAGGAAAAAAAGCTGCGCCAACAAGTTGACCTAGTGCGATTCGAATTTGTGCTTTCTTTCAAGGAACCCACTGAAGCGATCGTCAAAGTCGTCGAAGGGCTCATCGGGAGCCGAGCTTGTGAGTACTGATGAGTGCCGTTTTTTTTTTTTTTCCCTCACGTATATCTTTCGACAGGACGAGAAAACTATCGAGGAATTTGTGTCCAAGTTCGTTCGGTAAGAGCGAAGATCGAGTGGGTCTACTGTGACATTCATTTGCCGTGATTCATTTGCCGTGCAGACTCGAGAGGGACACAAAGAAACTTCACAACGACTCGAAGAAGTACGAGGACACAATGCTAGGTATGACACTTGCGCTATGTCCGGCGCTTGCATCCGTTCTAACAGTCGTCGAACGCTTTTGCAGCCCTGTACCATTGCGAGAAAAAAATGAGCGGCGACCTGGCGAGTGGCGAACTGTGCCACGAGAGTCCCGAACTGCGCCGTCTCGTCGAAGAATGGCTCGGCTTTGCGTCCTCCATGGACACGGCCGTCGATGACCACGTGAGTTCACGTTCAGTCAACAGTGGCACTACGTGTTGAGATTGCTGCATAAGTTTTTGCACGCCACGCCTTTGCATTAATTAAACCTTTCAGACGCCACCTACGAGGAACTGTCTGTAACTGTGTCAAAACACCACAACATTCCTTCGAGGCACTCAATATTCTATTGAAACAAGAATAATGGGACAATTGTTGAATTTGTGTGCAATGGTAATTCATCCCAATTAAATATCTCGTTACCCTGAAGTCATTGATGCTTACTTTTGGCATTTACAGAATAAAATCTTGGGCTAGGAACATAGTGCAAATGCATTTTTGGTTATGTCCATTTTGAGGCAAAGAAAATTCTGCTTCATGCATTGCTTCCAGGAAGCGGCACGTTGCACAACAAGTCGAACATGGTAGTGCCTTCAGATAAGTAATAATTTGTACAAGTACGGTGCAAAATGAGGATAAATTTATTATGCAGGAAGTTCAATTCATCCTAAGTATAATATATCTTGCCTTTTTTACCCTCTACTTGCTGGTGGACACCTTGTGTACATAGCAACTCAAAGGGTTAATGATCATTTGATATAGCAATTAAGAGCAGGGCAACTGCACCTTTGAAGGCAGCTGCATTACATAGGTCACAGAAGTGACTTCCTCACTTATTCTTCTGTGTGCACCAGTGCATATGAATTTACAGACCTTGCACCACTGTATTGTAAAGCCTTTAGTAATGCAGAGATCAAGAAATATTTGTTGAACTAAATTGGCCAATGTTTTTGCAGCTTGTGGCCATCAGGCGTTGCTTAGTGGATCCTATCAAACGGTAAGTACATTTATTTGGCGAAAAGTATACAATTCATGTTGAGAGCTCTGTTGAAAACTAAAATGAATGCTAGGGCATGTTGGTACGACATCTCTGATTAAAAACTTAAAAGACAGAGCTCAAGTTAAAGGGGGACACAAACAACAGCACTGCTGTTTATGTTCCCTTTTTTCTTGTGCTTCATCTTTCGTGCTGTTTTGTTTCCGAGATCTAAAAAAAGATGCTTTGAAATCGATAGCAAGTCCACATCACACTATTTTCCACAACACCACCTGTGAATTCAGTAAACTCACCATAGCTGCATTACTTTCAGACTTCAGATTCATGAAAAACTTGTTATGCGTAATTACTTAGATCAATGAACTCGATGTTTTGGAGCTGGGCTGGCTCCATCAGAGGCAAAATGATTTATTGATTGATTTGTGGGGTTTAACGTCTCAAAAACACCATATGATTATGAGAGACACCGTAGTGGAAGACTCCGGAAATTTGGGCCACCTGGGGTTCTTTAACGTGAAACGCAAAATAACAGAAGGCACAGCAGTGCTTATATGTTCTTGGGATGATGAGACAGGCATTGCTGAATTCTTTACTCCCGCAAAATAAACCTGCCTGCTTTCTTTGAGGCCATACTGTCGTTTCTGGTGATACAGTAGTTGAAGAATTCACTGTGTTCTGCCTCAGCAATTTGGTGTAACAGTGAACACAAAAAACAGCAGTATCTCATCAAACAAAAAATGGCACTCATAACAAGTAATGTGCAAGTTATAAAAAATTAATTTATTAACAGCATTGTGGCAGAACACGGCTCTCTGTTGAGGTGCTGAATGTCATAATTGAGTTGCCAGATCCTTTTAAGCAATTAATTCCAGCCAGTTGTGCTGAAACCAAGCCTGTAGCTTACAAAAACGGTAAGATATATTGTATATGACAAGAAGAAATGCTAAATTCATAACTTACTTGACAATAAATTCTTACATAAGCTGCATTCTGTAATAGTTTTAGTATATTTTTAAAGAATGCCAGGCATTCTTTATGTCATATTTCTAAGGATTACACAAAATTTTTGCTAGCCTGTCTAATAACTACTGCTGTGCCTTATTATCTTGGTTCTCAAAGGGATTGTCATGCTTAGTTTTTCAAACAAGTTTCCACCAGCCTGGCAGGTTTCTTTTAAACGTATTCCTTTGATTCATCAGATGTGTTTTTCTTGTTCTGTGCAACATCACTTCAAAAGTGTTATAGATAGTTTAGGTGTGTTATAGATAGTTTAGGTGAGCCTTCGGTAGAGGAATTGCCACCTAACAAAAGCCTGTACAAGTCATGAGGGAAATGTATTAAGCCTTTCACTGCTCTGCACCTTCCTAATTTTTTTTTTTTTTTCATGTTGTGGAAATTTTGTACTAATGCAGTAGGGTGCTCTGCACGACATATAAACATTTTTATTAAGCATTATTTCATCAAATGTAAAGTTAGACTCTTAACAAGCAAGTTAACAATTGTGTGTAAGTTATACATAATTAACTTAATAACAAAGTAATTAACCACTAATTCAAAGTCACTTGGTATCTACTTTTGTCGTACTCTGTATTCATCATAAGCTTCCCAATTTTTTCGTTCATCAAATTGTGTGCACACGGTGCACATTGGCTTGACATGGCTACGCTGCTGAGATGCTGGCAGAGGTGCGAACCAGCATGGTTGCAGAAAAATGTGCTCCGTCTCTTATAAAAAAATGTAACTACGAAATATAGTTGTTTATTCAGTCTCCCCACAGATGATGGGACACACTTGTGTTATTTTATTTTGCACGAGTTGTCTTGCGAGTGCCAGGAACACATTTAGAGAGGCTAAATGCGTATACTCTGGATTGGCAGAGCTTGTGCGTGTGTGTGGTCACCCGAGTTAGCTCGGGATTGACAGTGAAAAGGTTTATGCTAGTGCTCATTGTACTGTATGCACTGCCCTGCCAATGAAAAAAAAACATTCCACATTGCATTTTATTTGCGCACACCTATGGCATAGTGTATCATTATATTGACTAATACTACCTGAGAACAAATGAACCTCGCCCACACCGATCGTTCTTCACGCCGAGAAAATTTGCATAAATGCCCAACACAATTACAGTTGCTCGTTTACGTGACTACAAGAACCTCTCGCGTACTTCAGATAGACTTCCATACAGGTTCATGTTCCTATCTAGTTCGTGTTTGAAAGCTAGAACTTTCTGGCATATTTCTGCAAAAATTCTATATTCACTGCTCTGCCAAACTAAAATTTTAACAGAGGACGATAAGCTTTCAATTAATATTATATGTAGTATTTACATTAGTTGTGAAAGTGTACTTATTAGAAATGAAGCCACCAACACGGATGAGTGACAAGTGTACTGCATATCGGGGGTGGATTTTGCAGTTATTCTTAGGTTGTAAAACCCCTGTCGTATAGATACTGTCATACAGGGCAACTTAAGTGCGCACTGAGAACTTCACTGCAACTGTCATTCACAACTTGTCACACATGAAGACACAGAGACACTCGCTGCGAAGTGCACTTTTCGCCAAACTTGCTTCGCTACGGCGGAGTGTCTAGCCTCTGTAAAATTGGCTCAAGAACAAATGTCAAACAAAGCTGAGTTCATAGCATATTTTTTTTAAACTGTCGTTTTCATTATTAGAAATATTCTTATGCATTAGAACATGTGACATCAACAAAAACTACTTTGATATTCTTGCTCCTTGGCAGTTTACAGTAACAGCCTTCAGGAACATGACCAGCACACCAGTACAATGCTGCAGCTGCAGTGTTTATACGTAAAGTTTATTTTAAGGGCTGCTTACAGTTATAACACATTATCACATAAGGAATATTGCCTAGAATGACGAATATCTGTTGCGCTACTAAAATAGCCATCACCATTACGATCATTTGCAATATAGACTTCCTTTTCTTACACAGCAGCGTGGTGCCAAAGTGATACCCTGAGGGTGTAAGTGCACTAGCTCAACATTGCACTTAATTTTCTAGTGAGAGACTGAGGTATAACAAACTTTGGTCAGCTTGACCAAAGTACTACTCACTAAAAAAAGCATACTTTTCCTTCTGTCCATGCCCAGTTACCAGGGTGTGTTTGCCGAGGTTCAGGCAACGCTGAAACGGCGTGAGCAGGCAGCCCAGGAGTGCTTGCGCCTGGAGCAGCGTGCAGAACGACTGAGTGGGCGTGAGTCAACAGGTGCCAACCTTGCACGTCTGAGCGAATGCCGACAGACTCTAGAGGCAGCTAAGGCTGATCTGGTCACCCAGGGAGCGCTACTGGCACAAGACTTGCCTCGATGGTATGCAGCGAGCAGCCTCTATCTGCAGCCATGTCTTGAGGCTTTGGTGCATAGCCAGACACTGCATTGGGGGCAGGCAGCCACCCGTGCCCATGACCTCATGGCTCCTGGGACGCGCAGCCCTGTGGAACAGCAGCTGGCTACTGCTAGGTCTCTCTCAATTGTTAGCCTGCCCACCTAGGCATACCCATACACTAATCGCTACTCTGTGCTTCAGTGTCTGCACCACACTGTATTGAGCACCCCATGATGCAGAACCGTCCTTGTTGATGCTGGAGGCCTAATGATGTTTTCCTGCACTGTTTTGTGCGCATATAGCTCAAGACTGGTTGTTGTCTATGCACATATTTACCGTTTTGTTATATAAGCTATAAAATTCGAGAAAAGAATGTACTTGTTTATTTATTAAAGGGACTTTTCACCACTCAAAATATGTCCTTGGATTGTGGAGAGAGTGAGAAGATTGTACATGACATCAATGGAAATGATCATAGTTGTATTCAACAAATAAATCCAAGCAGGGTGTCAAATTTCTTTTTTTTCTTAATTTGGCTCAAAAAGTCATGCAAGGCATTAAAAAAAAATCAATGGAACATCATGTATTCAATGAAAAAAATTTGCTACACTGCTTGGATTTATTAACATGTTGTCAGAACATGTACTTTATGCACTTCAACAAACTTCTCTGCGGCCCCGCTACGGTGGTCTACTGGTGCTCTGCTGCTGACCCGCAGGTTGCGGGATCGAATCCCAGCTGCGGCAGCTGAATTTCCGATGGAGGCAAAATTGTAGGCCCGTGTGCTCAGGTTTGGGCGCACGTTAAAGAACCCCAAGTGGTCGAAATTTCCGGAGCCCTCCACTACAACGTCTCTCATAATCATATGGTGGTTTTGGGACGTTAAACCCCACATATCAATCAATCAACTTCTCTGGGTCAGAGAGCAATTCCTTATCTACAGTTAGTGTGTGAAGTGGTGGAAATGAATAGAATGGTGCACAAGAAGTTTGCATTGGCTGCACAAAGTGTGCCTGTGAAAAAAAGTGGCCATGTTCAAGTAATAGAAAACCCAACGTCTAATGGAGTAGATTATGTTTTAATAATGGCTATTATGACAAGAACTTCAGTGACAATGCAGTTATAATGCAAATATCCAGCGTATAGCAAAAAGTGCACATTCCATTTCTCATTTTTACCACTATGGCATTATTATTGTGTACAGTTATTGGCATTATAAAGGGGTAAAACTCGTCCTTAAGTTTGTAGCATTAAGCTACAAGGAAGTCCATGCGAATTTCTCAGAGAAAAGCCTCTTAGCAGACGAAAAAGTCATCCTGGTCAGGGTTTCAAACCAGAGACCACCTTTCGGGGCAGTCACTTTATCAGTTGAGCGCTATCCAGCAGGCTAGCCAGTGATAGTGCGAGAGCGAACTGACAACGCAAACCACGCGTATACTATATGGCAAATCAGTTCGGTGAAACTCTCAAGGTAGAGAAAAGATTGTGAAAGGAATAGTAATTCGACCATTTGTAACACAGGACCATACAGAATTCCGTATGGGTTCTCAGAAAGCAAAGCTTCCTATAGCTGTCCAAAAATTTGTTGCTAGACATGGGTGGTCTTTTTCATCGCCCTTACTCCACCTTGAAGGATTTCACAGATTTTTGCAAAAACCGGTGTTGTAAGCTCCCGTACAAAGTTTTATAAGGGCTTCTTACCAGGCTTGCAAATTGCAAACAAACAAGTGCAGTGCATAGAATGCTCAGTAGTGATTGTGTCTGCAAATTATAAAATGCCAAATGCCCTCCTTTCAGCAGGAACTGCATTTTGTTAAAGTTAGTACATATGATAAGCCCACGTAACAGGCATATTGAACACTCATTGTTTGTTTGAAATCGCAAAGGGGCTTGAAACATTGTTTACAACAAAGGGCTTGAAACAATGCGAAGAGTGCAACAATGCCACTACAAGTGCACCAAGAAGCAAAATAGAGAAAAAAGGAGGTGCAGCTCATCACATCAACATGACAAGCTCCCTTTTCTCTAGCACTTCAAGGGACCCTGAAAAGGTCTTTTTATGTTTTTGCCAGCGTTTAGGCTGGAATATTATCAAAATATTTGCACCACAAATTTAGTGACATGGCATGTACCAAGGCCGCTACGGACAATTATATCATACCCTCCTTTCTCTGCCTGGCCTCCTCAACTCGTGAGGCACGCTAGCATTGCCGGCAATTTTACAGCTCTCATGGGAGGGCTTGACGATTTGAGTTTTTACTAGTCTAGATTTCCGAAATGGCACGCTGACAGGTTGCACGCAGTCTCAGAGGCCATCAGATAGTGCGTCCAACAGCACGCACGCTGTCTGGCAACAGAGATGAAGATCGCAAAGTGGTTTATATCTGCTCTGGCAGCTACCGCCACCCTATCAGCTGATCTTCCGCGCATTCTACAGCTCATGACAGCCAATCAGGTCAGCAGCCACGTAAACTGCTGATCTGATTATTTGATGTGCTCTGGCCTCGTCATGGGCAGTTGAAAACGTGTTTGGTCGAGTCGCACCGATTTGCAGTGATTGGCAACTTTACAGAATTGTCATAAATTACTCAGTTCACGCAGAGAGCTCAAATCAGTCTCTAAATAACCCTTGGGACTTGGCGTACGAGCCCATTGTGTTTGTATAAAATAGCCAGAACCATTTCAAGGTCCCCTTAAAAAAATTCAAGAGTCATGCTGCTTGAGGACCCAAGCCAATGCAAAGGGGAACGTGATGCTCTGGCTGGGAAGCATGCTTCCTGGAGGCATCAAACAAGGCAGTTCAGCAAACATGGCCAATAATGCGCAAGTTTCAAAAATTTCTTCCGTAAAGTTCTCCCCTGATGGCACTTTAAAACTTCCAGTGTTTTGGAGGAGGAGAGGTTGAGGAAAGAAAAAGACATCTGCAGCCCTGAATGGGAGCATGGCTCAGCACCTGTAGGGAAAACTTGCAACGAAGCCTGGTGAGTAGCCCTTTAATATGGGTCCGCCATTTGGGTCCCATTCCAAATTAACCTAAGTAAGTCCATCGAACTAATTCAAAACCGAGCAGTTAGATTCATCTACTCAGATTACTCGTATCATACCAGTGTTACCACCCTTAAAAGAATAGCAGATCTACCTAACCTTGACCTACGCCGTAAGGTTTCCAGACTATCCTTGTATCACAAAATGTATCATACGTTTCATTACAACTGTCCCATTCAATCAGCTCATCGTACTTCAGCCCGCACAAGCCACCACAAGGCCGTGTACCCACCTCCTGCATGTACCACAGCCCACCATCACTCCTTCTTCGCTCAAGCAGCCAGGGACTGGAACGATCTTCCCCCAAGTGTCATCCATCATAGCAACACGGATAGATTTAAAAATGCCATAGAATCATTGTTTTATTAACCCTATATTGTTTGCCCACACCCTCATGTAAAGCCCCCTGTTGGGTGGCCTTTGAGGTATATTAAATAAATAAATAAATAAATAAATATGACAAGACTATGCAGATTAAAAAATTGTTTCAAGGATCTCTACTAGTATATTAGATAAATCGCTGCATGCTCAGACACTTCAAATGGCAAGCTTCCTGTCGTGCTACAAAATAGGCCATTTAAAAACTGTGTGCGTCATTTTAGATTTACATGTACAAAAGCACATCATGGTTTGTGTGGCATGTGGAAACTGCACATGATCACTGTCAACGTCGGAGTTAAACTACAAGGTGTTCAGGACGCTCTATATAGTGCAACAAATTATTTAGTGAAACTATAGCAGTCATTTACACTAACATTTTCAAGCAAGCTGTTATAATATAGCAATTCTATTTTTTTACTTTTTGTACTTTTTTTTACTTTTGCACAGTGGTCTGCTCCACTTACACTTTAACGAGGATTGACTGGTTGCGACTGATGGATAGGGAATAAATTTCTATGGCCACAGTGTTTCTGAAGATTTATTTTCAACTGGCATTAGTCTTCATTTGCTTAACTCCTACTTCTTCAATGGGCTGCTTGTATGTATGTGTTATCGAAGGGGTACATGGGTGTAAATATATGGCTGACTAAGCTCATTTACCGAGGCAAGCGTTGTTGGCACAAAGACTCATCGGAGTGACGCACATTGTGCACCTGTGTAAAAGTAATGTGTAGATGATACTGATTTCAGTAGCACTTGCACCTCACAAAACTGAAAATAGTTTATGTGAGGTTCCTGGGCAGTTTTCGACATTCTCATTTGCACCTTGGAGCACAAAACTTATCAGCACCTAGTGACGATTTTTAAGCTGCATATCTCCAAATGTGTGCTTATAAAAAAACCCAATAAATTGTATTTACCTGAGAGTAACTCCATTTAAATGTTGTGTACATTTATACCAATATACAAAGAAATTTTTAGCTTTTTGCTGCCGAGTGTCTCGAATTCATGACATACTGAATAACTTCGAGCAAGCAAATCCCGAAATGTGTGCAGCCTTTAAAGGGACACTAAAGTCAAATAACGATTCAGACCACAGCGAACGCTCAATGTATGATGACGTCTAAAACGACAATATTATCAACAGCAGTGCCCTACTTACCGAGAAATTGAAGTAAATGCACAGAATACAAGCGCCGCAGTCGGGACATTTACAAAATGATCCCGATGACATCAGACGGACCGCCTACAGTTAATCACTAGTAATCGATCTAACTGCACTAAATAAAGAATGTTCCGTGCATTAAGAGACGCAACAAAATGCTGCTTGTTCGTCTCTGTTTGATTCATGGAAGAAAGAACCGCCGGACGTTACTGTTCCTATGGGGAATGGCGCGAGCGGTTCAAAAATTCAATTTTCGCGTGGCTACACGGGACAGGTGGTGCCATCTAGCGGGGTGCAGTTGAAAGAAAAGTGCAATCTTGAAGCCAATGGTGGGAAATTGATCAATGGCCGTTGCTGCTGCTGTGACTCCGGCTGCTTTGGGTCTGCTGCTACTAGCGCAGTAAAGCCGGCCAACGTTGTGCACGGCAACCGTGACGTGAGTCAGTCCGGTAGGTCCGCTTCTTGAGGCAGGTAATTTGAAGTGCGCTAACTCGATGCGGACCACTGAAACGCGACATTTTAAAATAGGTCCTTCCTTGGCATAAAAGTAACATTATGAGATTTCTGAACCGCTATTTCAACAATCAACGTCAACTTAATAGTTGCCTTTAGTTTCCCTTTAATTCCGGCTGTAATTAAGTCACGGGGAACACAGCCTTTCAGCATAAAAAATCTAGCTCCATCTCGTCTCGGATACTTTATGCTAGAACGAATTGTTTTGTAGCTGATGGCAGAGAGCGCGAAGTGTGTGCAACAGCTCTCACTTATTTGTTCCTTTTTGCTTGTGTGACAAATTCAATCTTGAATAATTTTGTTTATTAAGTGTGTATGCACCCAAGAAGCGGCACACAACATGTTATGTAGTTCTGAAGTACATTTTTTTTGCTATATGCTCACTTTCAAGGCATAAAGATAATTCACGACATACATAAAAGGACGCATTAAAGTTGCATTTGAGATAATTTAGCTGCAGGATCATTTGAAGGTTGCCATTTAAAGCCGGAAAAAAAAAACAATACTTCGTTTGGCAGTTTTATAGTTTAAGCATTAAAGGGTTAATGAATTCAGTTACTAAACACAATTTTCTATACAACATGTTCTTCAAAGAGTATAGATGTGTGCAGGCAACTTGTACATGGCTTAGCATTGCTTTTTAGGTAAGATGAGTGATTTAGCAAATGCAATACATTATCAAACATTCAGACACAATCCCAAATTTAATTGAAGTATGACACCACAGCAACTGGAAATAAAACATGCAGCCTCATGGTGATCTGCAGAATACCGCAGCCATCGAGTCACTGTGACAGGTTGGATAAAATCAAAGTGTGAGTTCAAAGGCCCTGTGTAATTGCTTAGAGGGGCCCCTGCAATAGTACATTATGGACACATTTATACCAGACACAATTACATCACTGAATACAAAAAAGTATCATGGACAGTTTTTCTCGGGTATCCAGGTGCAACACAATCATGGCATCAATTAGGGGTGGAAAGGTGGCACATAATTGCCAATGACTTGTCAGGTGGTATCCACATTTGATGCGCTTGTTCCTATACAATACGATTGCGCACGGCAATAGGTGGAAAGGTTCTGTAGATGTGCAGTGGCGACTCAGTAGTTCACGCTATGTCTATGTACTGGAATCTTGACACCATATTAACCGTTTGTGCGATAGTGCTATATACATCCCACTTATCCATTTGCTGGAAATGTTTTCTCCCACATCACCCATTACAATTAGCACAATGCAAAGTCACTTATATCTTACCTAAGCCTTCGTAATCTCAAGAAAAATTATTTTACCATTCTATCAAAGGGTTGTCATAATGTTACAATGGCACTGAATTTCGGTCAGTTTTTTTATAGTAGCTTCAGACACCACCTTTTTGATGATGATGATGTAAAGGTGGTGTTTTCGGCCAAAAACAAAATAGGAGGAGTGGGCGCATTGGTCAACCAGAAATGTGACAGAGTGACCAGCGTACATAAGGAATGCAGCATAAAACATAAGCTCAAACTTGTTCAATGTGCACACAATTTGGTGTATTGAATACCTTTGTCGTGTGGGTGTGTATATATAGGGCAGGCTGGCAGGTGCATTAACACTAGGCTAAGGGAGCATATGTCAAGTCTGAAAGGTCGCCCTAACACCCATTTGGCATTGCATTGCAATGAGTGCGAGTGCTCTCCTTGTTATCGCGACACTACCTTGGTATATAGGAATCGAAACAAGAAGTCGAGAGATAATGGAAGCTTATCTTATAGACAAGCAGAAAGATAGGTGTGTTAGCCACCCTTCGGTAGCTTACTAGAGAAAGAAATTTCGCTCACGTCTGTTAATCAATGCACCTGTTATCATTATTTGTGATATGTGCGCAGTGCATTTGTTTTTTGGTGACAAGAGAGCACGGATCCGAGGGGTATAAAGTGAATGTTTTTTCGAGAAATAAACCAGTTGTTAGATAGCGCTTTTTGTCTTCCTTTCTATGTCCCTGTGAGCTTGTGCGAAAATTTCAAGATGGGCATGATCTATTGGTAGGCAGAATAATCAGGCATGACCAGTAGGCAAGTGTCTAATAGATTCACTCCCCCACCAGACTGCTGTTCTGGCCACCAATAAGCAACTACAAAAGCATATGTGCTTCCATTTGCTGCCACTTTATAGCGCTCTAGGCAGCTGCCACATGCTGCAAACACGCATGTTCTCTTTCATAAAGCAACACCTTGTAAAAAATTGAATTCTAAAGGAGCCATAGCAAGAAAGCTTAGCAAGTTTCAAAAGCTCTGCTGGTGTGTGTTACAATGATGAAAAATAAGAGAAAATACTTTAGAGATACACAATTTCACATTGGTGTCACACTGCTTGGACTTAAGCACAAAATTCAAGAAGTGGAACTTTGACCTTTGCCTTCTGTAATTGCAATCGTCATTTTGCTGATAAATTAATGAGGACAGTTTTAAGGTATGCTAAATGAATATAACATGATTTAACATTTATATTTAATGTTTCGTTACTATTACTGCATTACGTCTGGCTTTGTGCAATTTGCCTGTGCACACAATTCGCCATGGCATATTGCACGCTGTGGTTTTCATTGCACCTTAATATTTGTTAAATCAGGCAAATTCAAACATGCAATAGAAGCAGACTTCATAATATTTGATTGACTTTAATGTATTCTGGTGCACACTGTTTCCCAAGTGAGACACTGTCCCTGGTGGAGTTAAGGGTACACTAAAGCGAAACAATGAACTGGTTTAGATTGACAAAGTGTACTTTAAGGACTCTAATGTCGTTAATGTCACCATCAAAAGTTCATAATTAGAGGAGAAAATCAAGGTCAAAATACCATTAGAAAATTTTGTGCCAAAATCAAACAAGCCCCGCACCCCCCCCCCCCCCCCCCCCCAAAAAAAGAACATTCCCTTGCTTTCGTTCTTTCATGGTAAAGCTCTCATTCCAGCCGACTTGATGCCTTCAGGTAGCATGCGAGGGTTACTTGATCATTTGCCAGCCCATCTGCCAGCCTATCACAATATATGACGCTATGTGGCACCACACTGTGAAAAGAGCGTTCCGTACGTGCCGCCTTGGCTACAAGAGATGCTGGTGGTTAACACTTGCAAGATTACAAGCACAGAAATACTCAATGAAGTGGATGGGGAGAACACCTGCCATCATATCTCAATTGCCAGAGCATAGGACCCACCATTGGTAAAGAGGTTCATTAATCCAGTACAACTAATTTACATTTATGCAATGACTGGTAATGTTCCCCATGGTTTCCCTGGTTTTATGTAGTTGTGTTTAGCAGAGAAACAAGCCCCTCAAACCATTCTATGTCTTGCTTTCATTTAAAATGAATGAAACTTGGTCATTTCTGAAGTTTTGTAAACTACATATTTTGTTGTAGTTATAATGGAGTTTGAAATACAGTAGTGATATCTGTTAGGCACAACATCAATTAGAACTTGGTTATAATTAATCCTATGTCTAACAAAGAAAGGCGAGCTTTTGTAATTTTCCTTCTCTTGTTTATAATCATATTTGAAACACGATAGGATTATTGCAGATGAAAAATTAATTCCATCAGTCAATTTCATCTAGAGTGAGATTTCACACTGACAGAAAATTTTCCACAGGAAGAAGAAATGTAGTGCAATATCACAAATAACTGACAAAGAGTCATACATTTTCAACCATTCCTGCGGCAGAAACCATACTTATGGCTCTTAAATGGTGTGCTGTAGAATGAAGACCTAGGAAGACATCATAAAGTCAGCATGGCAGTGTTTCTCGAGCTATTCTTAAAGTAGTGACGAGACGGAAGGTGGTGATTGATTCTGGCAATACAGTAAATAGGCACAAACAGCGGGGACTCTGCCGGGCTGTTTAACGCAAAAGTTGCGATTGCGCAGGCTTATTACAAACCTAATTTTGGGAGGATGCCTTGTTGCAGAATGGTTATACACGCATCTTTACTTCAAACATGGACGCAGCCCCGTCCAGCTTGTGACGGCGCATTCTTTGTATGGCTGCTTTCGACGGACAACGCCGTTAGACAAACACGACCCGTTTGTCAAGCTCTCGCAGAACTGCACTTCACCAGAGGTCACCTTGCCAAATGCAACTGGGGGCGCCCGTACGTTGGCTCAAGTGCATAAGTTGCGCAGCGCGCGCCATGATGTCGCATACATAAAAGCTACGCAACTGTCGTAAGACTCCATGACGACAGTTATAGCGCGAGAACAAAACGACGACACAGAGACAAGGAGGAGACGAAGGACACTTCTTGTCTCTGTGTCGTTCTGTTCTCGCGCTATAACTATCGTCATGCCGTACCAACTAGCCCAAGCTGCCACACTTCTAACTAAGACTCCACTTACGGTCATGGTTGCAATCACCTGGCTCCAGGGAATGTTGAGGAATCAGGTCCGCAGAAACCATCTTCGCCTATTTGCACAAATTAAGGGATCACCAATACACAAAATGAACTCAAATCTGGCGCCGCCGGCTTCACTTGAGCTCCGCCAACACGCCGCTTTGAAAATTACGGAGCACTGGAAATTACTGACACGACGAAACCATCGCAAACTTTACGTTTTCGCGAGCCCTCTTAATCATAGAGTTTGGTCTGAACTGCTCACACCACCCTTGAAACTACTTCAAAGCCATGTTCAAAACTTACATTAATGTTAACTGCACGTGCGCCGCGTGCGCACTCAGTGGGCGCCCTGCGCTGCTCACGATATTACGCATGATTTTAAAGAGTAATCCTCAGTTGTAAGTTAAATAATACGTTTTAATATGAACTAAAACTAAGAATTGATATATGCAAATCAAAACATTTTCGATATCAACATTGCATTTAACTATAATTTTTCAACGACTTAACAGGGAAAATACAAGGTCTGTAAACGCTGTACTAATCTTGTTTTGGTCGTAAAACACGCTGCAACGCGTTTTGCCGGTCGATTTCGGTCTTGGTTTCGCTGGTGTCGTCCCGGCTGCGTGCGAAAACATTAGTGTTCGGCGGGTGTTCTTCACTTTGGCTTGGCAAAGCTGACATTGAAGCAGTGTGCTGCGTTCCTTGCGATCGCTGTTTATCACTATAAAAATGAGCCCATTCGCGTTCTGCTATTAAACTCATCGTTCGGAGTGACCCGTCCACAAAAGTGCTGTGCCTCATGTGTCTCTAGAAAATTAGTCATTTTTAATCAAGTGGCGCACCGTTTCTCGGTGCAACTGGCCATATACTATGAATGTGTCGCAGCGTTGTTTCTACTTGAGCGCCTTCAAACCCAGCTGCAGAGTGAGTGAACATCAATGATTGGCGTTTTATTCCCACTATTTCTCTCTTCGCGCATTAGATGTTACTGGAGCCGTGAATTTCCCTTCTTTGGGTTCATTTTTCAGGCGATCTTGTTTCGGCAAGACGTGCAACATCGCATGCTGGCGCATAGAAAATGCAAGCCCATACTTCAGGTTCGCACGTCGATTGAACAGCACGTGAAGTTGTTACACGCACAGTTTTTGCATTTGTTCCTCTAGACGATCGGCCGGCGACTCCAAGTGACAATCGCACAACCAGCGACCGAACAGCTGACGGAGAAGTCTCAGAGAGCTGTAGGAAAGTGGCTCCTTGCCTGCAGTGGCATGGCCTTCGGTTCCATCGTGCTAGGAGGTGTCACGAGGTGATTGGTGCGCTGCAGTACCATGTAACGTTGCAATGAGCTTATTTCACGCTGTGTCCACATCCATGCAGGCTCACGAAATCTGGCCTTTCAATGGTGCACTGGAACCCATTTGCAGAATTTCCGCCTTTCGGACAACAGCAGTGGGAGCAGGAGTTTCTGAAGTACCAAGAATATCCGGAGTACAAAGCGTATGTATTTAAACTGCACAAACAATGAAGTTCCTTTTCCTACAAGGCATTGTTAAGTACGTTATCATATGTCTAAAACATCGTTGGCGCAAACTTGAAAGAAGACAAAAGAAGAGTGAGTCTCTTCTTTTGTCTTCTTTCAAGTTTGTGCCAACAATGTTTTACACAGCTACATGCCAACTAGCCCAACAGCATACGTTGCTACGTCATCATGGTTTATTTATTTAGTTAATCTGCTCTTCCTTTTAGGACAAATTACTCAATAACTTCAGCACAACATGGTGGTTCGTGTGAGTGAGGCAACAAAAGACTGCTGTTGAAAAATTCTATAAGAACTTTTTGCCTTTTTTATCTTGGTGGTCTGCTGAAATACTAGGTAATAAGTACAGATGTATTCAGTTTCCAAGTCGTGGTAGTCCTGAAATACAAGGGTTCTTGATGCATGCGTTTACTGTCGTATTATACACACCTGCTATACATTTTACACGCTCACTGTGAATGTGGATCATAGTAGCTGTGCCCTGCCTGTCTCGGCAGTGTTTGGCTTGAGGCAAAACACAGCGCAATAGATGGATGCTGCACATTTGCTTGGCACGTGATGGCCTAATGTTATGCTGTTTTATTCTTAATTATACAGTTCTTTCAAAGTCAGCTGTATTAGAATTATATATTGACTAAATTTTTTGGAACAATACACACACTGAAGCTATCTTGGTTTAGCTGCAGGGCTGGTTATCGCATTCATGTAATGCTTGCTGCTCTCATACTGTTGTCACATGGAGCACTGGTGATTGTGACTAAGCCAGATTGGAATCGAATTTCGCAACACTGATTGGCTCCCATCTGCACCTTGCATAAAGGAATCAATCACGATCAAGAAATTTGATCTGTGTCAGGCCCAATAATAATCAAAAGTGATTGTGTGACACTGATATTAAACAGCACATTGGCAGACGAGAGGATGTTAGCGTCGGGTGGTTATAGGTATGATGCAAGTTCCAGTATGCTGCCTTGGATGTCATGCTGAGGAGCCTGACATTCTAGGTCTAAGTGCAAGCATCTCTGGTGTATCACCATTTTATGTGCACCTAGACTTGACAAGCAGCTTCCCAGCATGCTTGCAAAAGAAGACGCACCAAGGTGGCTTACAAAACAGTATGAACGGTTGCTCATCATTCACCATGGCCAAAATTCGCACGGCCATACGAGGAGAAATTCCAGGGAATTGATTACAAAGTGTTGAGACTCTCAGTGTCCCACCACTAACATCAATGAAAGCTAGACCTTTTATGATAGAATCCACCAGCACAAAAAAAAGAATTGCAGAAACTGGAAGCTAAGTGCTCCGAGCGCTCGACTATATAATCAGTTTCGATGGCACCTCCATATTTCTGAGAGCAGCCCAATAGGTAGGCTTCTCCTCTAATGATGGTATAGTCAAAGCACCTGCAGCAGAATCAATGACTTTTTAGCCACCCTGCCCGCTGTTTATGCCCATGGCTTTTTCAACACGATCAAGAATAAAAACTGGCAGTGAAGTGAGAGAAGGAAAGATAATGCTATTTCTTTGATGACTTCAGCTAAACCCCGAGGAAGGGGTTACATCAGTCTCAGAACATTGTGACTGCCTTAAATTCTGGCTGGTACTACTTTGAGAGTTCTAAATTACGCCTCAAGTCTGCCAGTCAATGACAACATGTTCTTCAGCTTCAATAGTGAAATTGGTTATTTTTTGTGAAGCTTCTGATTGTACCAAGATGTTTTCATTTGATTTAGAAAGTGCGCAACAAATACTATGATGAACAAGTACTCTGTGAACCATCTTTGTAAGGACATGTGAGAACAGCAGTGAAACCATGTATGTATGTATACAGTTATAGCCTTGCAATCATTTTGAAAAGGTCTAGAATTTCATATATGAAGCATTAAATAGATACATAAATTACTTGCAAGTCACAAAGACTGCTAAAAAATTATTTGTATTTCCAACAGTATGGATATAATTGAATACGAGTTTCAACTAAAAGAACATAGTTTACACTGATAAAACAGCTATGCAAAATGAAGAATATTAACATTTTCTAATGGTAATTTATTTGTATACCTATTTCAGGCATGAATTCATTTTAGCATTTAAAATTCAGTTTTCCTACATTTCTAGCATTTTCGTGATCATGAATGCCTACAGCTGTAAAAGAGATTATAAAAACTAAATTCTTCAAGTTTTGTTGCACTGCAAGCTCTGTGCAATAACTCTACAGGAATATTATATGTAATATTGTATATTTAACGTCCATGAAAAGATCCTATCCAGCCACTTTCAATGTATGCCTAATGCAGAACAATGACAGTTAATCCAGTAAGGACATTCTTGAGCAACATCCAGTTGTCTGAATCAATGTTAAGACTAAATGGGTTCTTAATGTTTTTTTTTTTTTCAATTTTTATTGGTGCTTTTGTTTTCCATTCACTATATTTTGGTGAGCATCAGTGTGCATGCAGTGACTGAAGGAGTTAGGCAGGGTGTGTGAAGAAGTGTGTCCGAAAATCCTCAAAAATAAGGGCAATGGAATATTTGCCTGGTGCCTTCATGACAACTTTTTCTGGAGTGGCAGACATCTTTAGATGACTAGCGACATCGATTACATGTGTAATTATAGAAAATAAATTATTGTTTAATTAGTGCCACCAGATAGGTGAAATGTGAGAGTGGGAGCCCTTATTGCCACAGTGAGATTTTCAAAGAGCGGCAGCAGGTCATTTGAGTAGAATAATGAAATCTTGCCAATTCCACTGGCAAAACTGAAACCGAAACGCAGTAGAGTGCAGAGTGCAACTGCCATATTCTTTAGGGATGATCTGAATGAGCAAGTGTCATGTCAACCATTGATCAATTTCGTTTAATGTGTACATAGGTTGCACTGGTCAGGCATAAATTAATGAATTTAAAACAACTAACACCACTGAAATCGTTTTAGTAAACAATGACATCATTTTGATATGTGAGGTTTAACGTCCCGAGACAAATATATGATCATGAGAGACACTGTAGTGGAGGACTTAAGAAATTTCGACCACTTTGGGTTCTTTAACTTGCACCCAAATCTGAGCACATGGGCCCACAGCATTTTTACCTCTATCAAAATACGGCCACAGCAGCGGGGCAATGGAGTCATTTTGGTAGTGGGCTAGTTGCACTCACTGCACTTCGGTTTTGCCAGTGAATTTGGTTGAATTTCATTACTTTGCAACAATTACTGGAGGCGGCTTTTTCAAAATCCCAAAGCTGCGACGGGCTCTTCACAGGAAAGATTTCAATTCTTCCATTTTGACCTGGCAGCCTGTTTCCACTAACAAAAAAGCTAAAATTTCTTTAATTATAACTAAATTTAAAAGCTTGTTTTTTTGTATGGCACAACATTATTGAGAACTGACAATAATGACAATGAAAGTATCGGGGATGTTATTAGAAGTAATTGTAAATACGAAAAAAGAAAATTGAATGAAAAAATGACTTGCCACCGGCAGGGACTGAGCCTGCGACCTTCAAATGTGTCTGATGGGTTAATTTAATAATGTGTTAATTGAATAATGTGTCTGAGAGCATTAGATGCATTATTTGAAGGTCGCAGGTTCGGTATACTTTCCTTAGTATCATCTGTTCTCTTCATTTTAATTACAGCTGTGGTTTATGTACTTAACTATCTTAAAAGAATACTGAGCCAAAGCTTTAAAAACTGACAAAAACATCAAAATTCTATTCGGAAGATACGACTGTTCCGATAAACAAGGTTAATTTTCCATATTTTGAAGAGTTGGCTGTATTTTGATGGATTGTCAGTGTGCAGCGGAGGCACACGAGCGTAAGCCGTGACGTCACAATCGCCGAGGGCCATGCAGAGTGCACGTGTTCCCGTGTTATTCCTTTTTCTCTTTGTCCATTTCTCCTTTCATCCCACTCTCCGTCTTTCACAAAAGCTCTGATGCTTTGCGCCAGCCGAGAGCACTGTTCGCTACGAGGGACTGTAGGGGTAGCGGACCATAATGCGCAGTAACAAGTGTGCCTTTTGTAATGGGTGGCTGGCTTTAAACCATGAAGTCATGATAATCACTTGTTCTGACACTAGATGGCTCTGTACGCTTGTCCCACTTAATATTACAGCAAAATTTAGATGTTTTATTGTGAAGCCTGTATACAGGACACATGTGTTCATAAAGCATGAATGTTATTTGCGCTGCATTTCTAAACAGAGGAAATTTGTTTCACTGTATTTCCAAGCAGATGTGGGACTGTATGGTAGAACACCTGCTTACCCCACAAGTCGTACCCAAAAATTTTCATTATTTACTTTATTAGCATTTTTCTCGGTTTTTCAGTGATTGAGATGATTATTTTTTGCTCTCAACCAACAACAGTGAAATTTTTGTGAAACGAGCTCTTTGCTATCGCGTTAATATGCCTAAAATACTGCAGTGTACTGAAGACTTTTGTTCATCTTGGTTGTCTGCATAGTCAATGTTCAGATAGATGGCTATCACTGCTTATGGCCATTTATACTAATCTTCTGTGACTCTGCACTGTAACCGTATGCATTCTGAATTTATGCACCAAGAAGCTCAAATATTTATGTAAACAATAAAATATAGGTATTTGGCCACAGTTAATCATGCTTTTCCCTGAAATATTTTTTAAGAGAGGTTACGGTTTAGTTATAATTTTACCTACTGTGGTGTTTAGAGCGATCTGCCAGCTGCTTCATGATGCTACCCTCAGTATTTTCTCTGCTGCTTTTCTCGGCTTCTGTAGGTTCAACCAGGAGATGACACTGGCCGAGTTCAAGCGCATTTGGTACATTGAATACCTTCATCGTATGTGGGGCCGCACTATTGGTGCAGTGTTTTACACTGGTGCTGCCTGGTTCTGGTGGCGGGGCTACCTGAGTCGCCGGGCAAAGGTGCACGTTGGCCTTCTAGCTGTGGGGCTGGCTTTTCAGGGGTTCCTTGGTTGGTACATGGTCAAAAGTGGCCTCCAGGACCAACCTCATGTAAGCCAGTACCGTTTGGCTGCTCACCTAGGCACTGCGTTGGTCTGGTACAGCCTGGCGTTTTGGTCTGGCATCTCCCATCTGTCAACCCAGCCCATGCATGCTTCTGCACTGATGTCAGCAACCGTGCAGAGGTGCGCCCACGGAGTCCTCGGGTTGGTGTTTGTCACTGCCATGTCGGGCGCAATCGTGGCAGGCTTGCGAGCAGGCCTCGTCTACAACTCCTTTCCCAAGATGGCTGATCGCTGGGTGCCCTCCGATATAATGGCACTTGAACCCAAGCTGCGCAACTTCACCGAAAACCCAACAACTGCCCAATTCGACCACCGAATACTGGTAAACCTGTACTTTTCATTGTAGACTTTTGCAGCATGCCAATAGTGAGTGACACAGTATGTAGTTGTTATTGCCAGATAGGAATAAACTTAAGAGGATTGGTTGGTTCGTACCTTACTCAATAATGAGCAATGCTTGACTTGTAAACACTATTGCTTTTATTAATGCCCCTTCATACAATGGTTGCACCAATAAAATTCACACAGTGTACAAAAGACATGTCCAGAAAAGCTCAGACTACTCCTTTATCATCACCTTTCACCATGTCTACTGCGCGGCATTACCCGCATTGCCCAGGAATCTTCAGTTACCCCTGGCTCTTATGCATGCAAGGTTCCGCATATCATCGCTACTCCTAACTCCCTGCCATTCTTGACAGTGCAAGTCTTACTGTGGCACACATCCTGTCGCTTTATACACGTTTTTAAGTTTTTACGACAGGGGGTTCCCATATTGAAATGCGCATGTCTAACGGCCAAGTTTGGCAAAATCACCATCTAGGGCTGGGTGTACTCAAGAGAGCGCGTTATCTGTTGGTGTGAGATCCCTGCTAAAGCCTGTGTTCGCCAATTTCTCGCTTGCTTAGACTTTTTTATGTGATATCGTCAAACCCACTTACCGATCCGTCGCTGTCTGAACCATACAGCGGTGTGCATTTGCGCTAGCTGCTTAATATAATGAGCTCCGCTTCTGCGAACGGTGTTGCTTCATCGTCGGTACTAGTAGCAGCAAGCACAGTACTTCCAGCGATTTGTGCACAGGCGGAATCACACTTACCTAGAGCAGCGAAGTGCGTGGCTGTGAACGCTGTTGTCCGTAGCTGCTACTTCACATTAGCTACAAGCTTCTGCTCATGCCTGAATTCTAGCTAAAGAGTTCATGCAATATAACCTTGTTATGTATCATTACATCACCGGTATTCGCATATTTTTGTAGAAAGCTACAGCTAAAGTTGCCAGCTGGGCGCTCTTTCAAGTGTGGCTCCGTCTGTACCTTTTCTTTTTTTCGGTATCCAAGATGCAGCACAGGAACGTTGTTCTCATCAGTTTTCTTGCCGTCAACGAAATGCCATGCATAGAGTCGTGACGATGGTGAGACACAGAGGTTCTCTTGATTTCATGACGACACCCACTGCTTCCGCAATTCAGGCGACGACGAAACATCATGCAGCGTGAACATGTCACACTGGCACTTATCGCATGACGTACTCTGCTGCAGACGCGATATCACCCAAAGTGTTTCTCTTGCACCGATTGTTCGCGTACCCATACACGACACAGCGATGTCCAGATGGTCTGGCCTTCAAATATGCAGACTTTCCTGCCACAACAGTCGTTTTTTACCGGAGAGAGGCGCCTATGACATGTACTACATCAAAGCGCGCCATGTGCACAGGTATGAAATATGCAGCCCAAGGCATGATGTCAACACTGAGAACATACCCTCGACCTCTGCAGCTCCTGTGAAAGGTGTATTTAGACCAGCAATTACCTGACTTCTGCACTAATAGCCGAAATGGGAAGAACAGTATCTGTTATTGGAGACAAAAATGTTTCGGATGCGTGATCTCCATATTTTAAGAAACTTTTCCGAAATGTGCAGTAAAGCACTTTTTCTTGGTTGTGGTGTCAGGTCGGCAGAAAGTTCCAGACAACTGTCACCTGTGTGACTATAAAAGCTTCTAATGGATATTTTTGTCTTCTCAAAGTTGCTACTTATGTATAATAATTATCGGTTGCTAGCTGGAAGTACGCATACCGCTACACTCTCGGAAAAGTATTGTACCCTTTTCTGCGTGTTGCAATAAATTTAGGGCTTCCACATCACAATTTTTTAAGAGCTGACTATCCATTGCTGTTATGTTACTACAAGAGCTGTTATATCCAATACATTAACAAGCACTGCACTGCAATGATAAGGAAATGTGCTTTGGGCACCACTTAGAGAATTGAGCACCACATGCTCAACCCTGTAGTTGCTGCTATACAAGGTATTTTTTTTTTTAGGAGCTAGACTCCTTAGGCCCGCACCCCGCCATCGAACCTACTCACCACATAACCGCTCGCTCCCGTCTCGCACCTGTCTTGCTTTCCCTTTAAACCAGTGAATGCGCAAAACCATTGCTTCGCCCTGTCGTCATCCGAGTAATTAGTCCGTTGCCTGGGCTGGCTCGCACTACGCTGCGCGTGCAGCACAATCACTCACTCAATCGTTCCCGCCACCTAGTGCAGCAGACACTCTCCCCACGCTACCGCCTTTATAAAAGCCAACAGCGAGATCAAGTGCATAGTCGTTTGCATCCCATTTCAAGGCGCTTCACTCATCGGTTGTACTTGTACACTGAACAACTGCTAGTTTTTTTTTTTTAAGACAATACACATTTTGTAAATAAAAATATGACATTCAGGCTCCTGTTGTTTTCACACATGAACTCCACATCAAGGCGAAAATACTTTTGCACAGCTAAAATAATGTTATTGCTACTAATTAAGAAAAATGTGTTAACTTTATATATTGACTTGAGTGCATTTATTGTAGTGCGTGGTCATTTATGGCATACCTTCTTATAATAAATAAAAAAATGTTGCACATAGTTAAAGATATTCATCATTGAATTTCAAGGGCGAAATCAAAACTGTTTATGCGCACAAAGGGCAACCTATGCCAGACCGGAAGTGACGAAACCTAAATCGAGGCACACTGAAGCAAAATGTGGTCATAAAAATCAACGAGCATTCTGAAGTACACAAGTACAGAGCTTATCGCATGTATGCAATCTGAAGTACTTGCCTATTCCTTAAAGGGCCAGTAAACAGGCCAAGACTTTTTTTTTTTCACCCCCCAAACAAGCTCGCCAATTTGTACGGTAAATTGTGACAATCACATTTTCTGAATATTACAGCACTGCAAGTGATATAGACCCTACATATTGTAAAACAATTACCCTATTTCTTGCCTTCGACTGACCAATCCCCCTGATATGCGCTGTGATGCCAACTTGCCCATGGACAACTTGGCATGCCATTGAGCTCGACAATTGGTCTTTTGCCCTACAAAACGGTGCCTTGGGCCTGCAGTGATGCATATTTAACCGCGCAGTCCGCATTTTCACTTTTGTGTGCTGCCCTGTGCCATTATATGGAGTCTGAGGCTGCTGAGAAGCAGTATTGCCAGAACGAAAGTTTCCAAAATAGGCGTCTTGCTATTTTACATCTAGAGGAAGGGCGCTTCTCGCACCGTGCTTTCTCTTTGCGCCGCTATGACATTGCTGACGCCATGTCATGTTGTCAAAGTGGGTGGAGTCACGGCGACATGCTACGCCTTCTCCTCTTTACGGTGGAAAAGAGCGGCAAGGCCACGTGAATATTTCATCTAGAACAGGACGTTCTAAACCCTGTACTTTTCTTAATATAGTGCGCATTCCCAAAATTATTGCGGCAGCATGTTCACATAGCAAAAGTGTGCACATTTCTCTTCAATACATTTTTGAATTTCAGGGTTGTTTACTGGCCCTTTAAAAACTATGAAGAGGCACACAAAAAATAATTTGCCTGTCTGCAAGAAGAAGCGACGCTGTGGCTATCCCCGATGTTTATGCTTCCCAGACTAAGAAAAGGTTCGAAAGAACTTAGTTCGAAAGAACAGATGAGCACCAAATGCTACTCACAAAAATAAAGCAGTGTGCTAGCACAAGTGAGATGCGTTGCAGATTTTCACAAGAAAATATGGCCACGACTTGCCTTGTTTGAAATTTTGTCACTTCCCTGTCACGGGCAGTTATGGTGTAGTGTACCAGAGTTGTCGATTTCAGTGTGCGCCGAGCACGATCGGTTTCTATTTCACTCTGAAATTCTATGATGAATATCTCGAACTACGTAGAAGTTTTGCAATTAAAAAAAAATAGAGGCGTCATAAAATATCATGCACTACAACTTTCTTCTATAAACAATAGCACTCTAGTGACTAATTAATGAGTTTCTGCTAATGTAATTTTAGCTATGGGAAAATATTTCTACCTTAACATAGAGTTTGTGTACAAAAATGATAGGAGTCTGGCTGCTGTAGAAGTTTTATAAAAAAAAGTTATCTTGAAAAAAAAAATCAAAACCCTGCAGACATACAAAAAAATTGCTATTGAATGAGTTTTTTTTTTTTTTTTTTCGGCGAAAGCTGTTACAAGATCAAAACAAGGGTTGTGTGTGCCACAGTTGTCTGCCGCCGCCGGTGTCCGTAACCACTATCGTTTAAAATAAAAAAAACTAAGTATATAAAAACTACCATCGACACAATGGAATTCAAACCTGGGTGTTCTGCATGCCAACCCAGTATTCTACCACTGAGCCACGGCGGTGCTTGAAGCTTCATTGCAAACTGACCCTAGGCAGTCTTCTTGTCAAAAAAGAAAACTCGTTATAATGAGTAATGAAGCATTTTATAACAGCAAAGGAACAAGATGTCGAACAATGCAAATTACCTAAGTAACCAGTGGGTCGTCGAATGCTCCAACCCATTACAAAAGCCTCAGCCTTTCATCTTTGTAGGCCACAGCATCAAAAAATTGCGCTAAAATCATTGCACATGTGTGGCGTGCACCACGCTTCTACAAAGAATGACGAAGAATGACATAATGAATGCTTCCCTACTGTACGAAAATTATGATGACTTATGGTGTAGTGGGTACCCTGCAAGTATTCTTGTTACAGTTACCCAAAGGATGTTTAAAAACACCTCTAGAAAGGCCGCTCTTCCAGCTTTCACTGTGGCTGTGCTTGCTGCACGTTCCATGCAGGCCTGGCAGTTTTTTCTCCTTGCTCTTCTGTCTTGAGAACAAGGAAATTTGTCAAATGTTTGCTTTCATGAAAATTCACCTGATTTTGCTTTCATGTTAATTTTGTTTTGAGAACAAGAAAGCACCTGGTTGACCAAACTGAATTTTTTGCAGGGTGAAAGTGTGGTGGTCCTTGTGACTAGCCTCTGGCTTTGGGGCAGGAGGCAACCACTACCACCTCGTGCAAAGAAGGCACTGCACTGTCTTCTAGCAGCAGCTTGGCTCCAAGTAAGAGACGTGGTGGACAACTGATGTACCACCTCGATGTTTTACAGCCACACATTGCAGCAATTTCTAGCCTGAGTTACCTCAGTTTTTAGCCACACTATTGAAGCTTTTGCTCTTGAATCATAAAATATAGGCCTGTTGCCTTCAAGAACTAAATGAGCATCTAGCAGAAGTGCTTGTCTTGCTGAAATATTTTTATTGTTAAGCCTGATATTGTGAAAGTGGTGCCTATTACAGTGAAACACCGTTAATAGGTACCTGGCGGGGACAGCGGCGTAACTACACTCTAAGCATACTATGCATTAACCACCAGCTGCATATATACCTCCTGACATGTGCCATCGCCGTCAACAAAGGAATAAATTTAGCGCGACCGGAAATACTGCCTAAAGTGCCTACCGCAAAGCCATTTCTTTCTTTTTGCCAAAGTACAGAAAGGATTCTGTCACTTGCACAACCGCCCAGCAGCACGCGACTAGAAACATTTCGAAACTAGTGCGGAGTCCGGGTTGTGCAACGTGGTACAATGACACAAAGGCATAATCAGCAGTCCACAATACACGAGCTCCATGGTCTGCTTCTAAAATTAACGCGGTATAATTACTGAGAGCCAAATCGTTTACTGCATGGGTAGTTGGGTGCAGCGCTTCGCCTACTCGGCGCACAACGTGGCTGCCGATCCGCTTGCTGTAGAGTATGCCCACTCTGCTTCAGGCCATGCACAGATGCGGAGAGTAGCTTGTTAGGTTAAGGCAGCGACGACGAACTTTTTGCAAGCGATGCACTGTTCGCTATGTTGTAGCAGTCCTGGCAGCCAACAGAGGCGCATGCAGTATGGTTAGAAATGCGCTACGCCTGCTGTACGGTGCGCGTGTTAGCATAATACAGCAAGGTTTTTTGGTGCGCGCAACCCGCAGTGCTAAACTCCGCGACAGCGAGCTGCTCGTGTTTCTATAAAGCGGTGCCCGCTTGAACACGGTTCCGCACAACGAAGCAGCAGCAATCGGCGGCTCAGCACTTTCAGGTAGTGGCCTACTAAAAGCGTGCCGTAGGTTTGAAGTGGCGCTACGTCACACGCGCGAGTGCGAGCAAATGCTTGTTGTGATAAGGCTTTTCATTGGCGATAAGCCTTACCGGCGCGCTTGTCGGTGGTTGCCACCTTGCACTTGTTTTTTCCCTATGATTACCCGTAACGTCATCGCCACAATTGCGTGGAATTCGGAATAACTGCAGATCGGCTTATCTCCACACTTATCAACATGACGGAAAAACATGTGCGACATATTGCGGCATCCGCAAGTTCAGCGGCGCAAAATTTCATCGCAGTACGCAGCTAGTAGGCACTAATCAGTAGGCATAAGACGAACACTACGACTGGTCTGCAAATGCATTAGTCTCTATAAGACTCGGTCTGCGATTCGTCGCAACTATGTTTTAACCATTAGTACACTTAAAGTGAGTACGTACTAACGAGGTTTGACTGTAGTGAAATTGGTTCCATATCTGAGACAGAAGATGAAGAAGTCTGTGGTAGTTTCAGATCTGTTTTTTAAATTTAAGAGCCTTCTATAATAGAAAAGAAATTGTACATTAAGAAGAATGAATGCATCAGTGCATTGGCGAAGCAAAAAAAATCCTCTCCCGACTGTGTGCATCTTCATCCACCTGCACTGTTGTTCACCCGCTAGGACTCTTCATATCCATAGGTGCCCTTGCTCCCAAAGTGCAGCTTCAAAAATCAGATGTTTGAGATGTTGCTGAGGCATTGCGGAATTTCATTTGCAGGCTACCCTGGGAGTCTCCACCCTCTTGACGTATGTTCCTGTATCACTCGCATCATCACACCAGGCAGGAGCGGTCACCCTGCTCTCAGTGGCCCTGTGGCTAACCCACGAGCTCAAGCTGCTCAGGAGGATACCAAAGTGAATACGCAAGGCCACCTAAGTTTGCTAAAGTATGTATTATTGTACCATGTGACAAGAATAAAACTTCCCAGAAGTGACTTTGTCCATGACTGGCTCGGTGACTAGTTTTGGGCACCTTGTTTCATATGGCCTGGATTACTATTCCAGAAATGCTTGCATAGCTGCCATCACAGCAATTCCACTGCATACACACCCCAGTTGCTTGCTTGATTCCCTGCAGAGAAAGAAAACACTGCAGTTATTACTTGGGGACTGCTTCTTAATTACTTTAAAATGCCAAGATATGTTTTTAAATTGCAGTTAATTGACTGCACTTGGCAAACGGTAGTTTTTGAAACAAATTCAAATTTATTTAATCTCAAGGGTGATGGTAAACTCGGGGAGGGGGGTGGAAGAGTGTCATTCGCCAGTTGAAGAAAATCAAGGCCTCCCTTATATATGTGGAAAGAAACAAGGACATAAGGACAAGTTTATTTAACAAATCCTAGTATGCATGAACAGCAATGCCATATACACAAACTATATAATACTTCCTTAAAAACTAAATTATGATATCTATGAACACAACAGACTAGATGAATTCACAGTTTCCTTACCTTCAAAATTAGTAATATTGCACTTTATTTTAGATACAAATCTTCCCCTAGTAATACAAATTGCATTTTTCAATTGTAACCTTTCTCAGAAGTAATTTAGTAATGCACTTACCAGAATTATGCCAGATGCTAATCTAACGTGGAACTTTGAATAGGTTTGTAAATGTACAGTTTTTTTTTTAATTAGGTATTCTGGTACTTTAAACCTCATACAGTGAACTCTCACTAGTGCAAACGTCAGTTTAGCGAATATATTTCAGAATTTAAGAAATCCTCGGTGGTTTTCTTAATACATTCTATGGAAAAGTCTTTCAGTTAACCTGCTGAATAGGCAATACTTCAGTTGAACGAACTTTATCAGTAGATGCGTGCTCATTTTTTAGAACAATTCAGTGAAGCACTGGTGTCGCCAGTGCATGGTGTCCCAAATCGCCCATCCATTGGCGGCAGTGCAACAGCACTTGTGCATGCAGCGCCTCTGAGACAAAGAAGCTTTGTGGGAGACAAAAACAAGGCTTGTACGCTTTAGCACCTGCATGGAACTATCAGACTAGGAAATTGTTCCCAGTGTTCACCTGAAACCGAATGAAGAATAATGCGACCAAGAAGTTGAAATTGCTGAGGCAGGTTTAAATCCTGTATCTCTAGCTGAGGCTGCAAAATATACAGTGAACTCTCACTCGAACAAACGTCAGTTTAATAAATATTTCAGAAGAACGAGCTTTCAGAAAATCCCTGGCTGTTTTTCTATGCATCTTATGCAAAAACTTTGAGTTGAGTGAACTTGAGCTGCGGACATTGGCTCATTTTTTTTTTATCAATTCAATGAAGTTTTGTGCTATGTTGCACTGGCATGGCTGATGTGTTCACCTCTAAATCACTCATTTATCGACGGCTATGCAGCATCACTTCTGCATGCAGCACCATCAAGGCAAAGCAGCTGCATGAGAGACTAAAATGCTGAAGGTCGTGAGATCGAATCCTGGCCGCCGCCGCCGAATTTTCGATGGAGGCAAAAGTGCTTGAGGCCCATGCGGTTAGATTTAGGTGCACATTAAAGAACCCCAGGAGGTCGACATTTTCGGAGCCCTACACTCTCATAATCATATGGTGGTTTTGGGATGTTAAGCTACGAAAATTATATATTATTATAGAGAAACGAAAACGAGCCACGTGTGCTTCAATACCTACGCAAAGCTTTGAGATTTGCAAATTGTTGCCAGTGTTCATGTGAAACTGAAAGAAGAAGCATGCGACGAAGAATTTGTTATGGCTGAGGCAGCTTCAAATCCTGTATTTCTAGCCGAGGCTGTTGGATATATATTAGGAAGTTACAAAACTAATGTCACAGCGACAAGCTATGCCAGAGGCAGTGCACAAAAACGTAGACTCAATCTCTGGACAGTTTTATATTTTCTTGTGCTTTAAGGGCACCAGTCTACATGAAAATTGCAGAATTATTTTCAAAATAAATTGCATTGCACACGTTTGACTTGATTCCTGCTGTGCCCAACACTGCTCCATATTCTAGTGAATATTCATTTTAGAGAGGTTTCAGTTAAGTGAACTATTTCCTTGCATCCATTGAAGTTCTCTCAATAGAGAGTTCGCTCTATCATAAAGTTGCAAGACTTCGTGTCACAACAAGTTGTGCCGAAGGCACGGAGGAAGAAACATTTAGAAGGTGGAACTTCGCTCCTTTAAGTGACCAGGTAATGTCACAGTGCCCAAGGGCCAATTCATGCTGGCAGCGTCTTGCGGCAGAAAAGGGAATTGGCGCCATTTCGGTTTCCGAGTGAACCGGTCGTGCACATTGCACACGTTCCGCCGCAGTTACAAAGGGGGAACGCGAAGCGCGTTCGGTCACGCTCGGCCGGTAGCATTACTTTTTTCTTTTTCTTTTTTTTAGGGTAACGGCATTGCACCACAAGGTGCCGCCAACTGAATGTTTCTGTCGGAGCATGTCATTTTTGTATTTTATGCGACGTTATCTGGACACCTGTGGACGCCTGTTCTAACGGGAGTTTCACCTCCTAAATATTTCTTCCTTTATGGCCAGAGGCGGTGCACAGGAACACAGACTCTTTAGGCAGCTTTGTCTCTTTTTGTGCAGCCCGAATGAAAATCACAGAACACTTTTCAAAATGAATTGCATTGCACTCATTTGACTTGATTTCTGCTGTGCCCAATGCTGCTCCGTATTGTAGTGAATATTCGGTTTAGTGAGTGCTGAGTTAAGTGAACTATTTCTTTGGGTCTGTTAAAGTTCACTCAAGTGAGAGTGCACTGCAGACTTTTTTTTTGCGTCAGTGTGCCCTACCGCATAAGTTAAATAAAAGAAAGAGTTCACACTGCTAGCTTGATGTCATTACACTGCACATTATTAAATGTGCTAAGGGAGCATTATAAAGCAATTAACAAAGCAGTTTTTTTACATATTCATGCACTTCAGCGAATGCAGTCATGTACTCTAAGGTTTAGAAAGGCATCCTTATTAGCCTATTAATATCTGTAATCCTTTACCACCAAATCAAAAATGTTTGCATCTATGGTGACGGCCAGGATGAGAAAGCACCTTGTTACAATAAATCGCTTTTATAGTTATTCTGGTGGGAGGGTCTAGATTTTAAATCTATAAATAGTGCTTAACAATGTCCATTGTGGAATAGCTTGCATCACTTGTCTAACCCACGTTTTAGTGCAAGTACTTGTGTCTATAGTCGAATACAACTTAAGCTGTCCAGACAAGTCTCGCCCAAATGACCAAAACACGGAAGTTGATCACCTGCATGACTAAAGAAATAGCCCCGCTCATGCACTCTGCAATGCTTTCCGAAGGCATCGGCCGTCCATCTCATGACGCCAGTCTGTAGTGTGTACCCGTTGGTGCAGGCCTGTTTGCATCCGCCTTGGAGGAGAAAATGTCGTACACTTCTAAAGTAGTATGCAACTATAGGCAGAAAAATGCGACTGCTTAGCGATGTTGCAGAGTACTCAAAAACTATTAAAAGAATAGTTGAAGTTTTAATATACAGCCTATTCAATTTGACAACCTACGTATGTACACGGTAGAATGTCTTACTTGTTATACAATTCTTTGAATATTCGCACCCCTCTTTTCTCAGAAATATCAATTATAGCCTGCTCATAAAATCAACAAGTGCAACCTTCACAATCTTTAATGCAGAAAGCGAGACCTTGAAAAAAGATTAAGACAACTAATTCTAAAGCTGCTCATAAAGTGAACCTTGAGTGTGACCATGTGTAACTACATACGATTGAATGCAATTATGAATACAATTACCTAGCGCTTGAATGCCTAAGGACTGCACAAAAAAAAAAAAAGACAGAATTAAACACACAATGCAGAAGTTGCAAGTTCATTTACAATCACATGAAGTTTACTATGAAATTAAGCATGATTTCATGGAGTTAACTTTTTCTATGCTATCTTTATTTAATAAAAAGTGAGCCCTCCAGTATGTTTATTTACTTCAAATACTGCTAATCCCAAAGGCAGTGGTTATGCCAGAGTGGCACAAACAACATGACTATATGAAGATTAAATATACAAGGCGTTTCAAGTAACGTCTTGTAAAGCCTTCAAAAATAAGGGAAATATATTTGTTTGCTACCTCAATAGTAATTTTTTTCTGTAGTGGCAGACATCATAGGATGACTACAGACATTAACTTTGATAATTAGAGGAGATGGGCAGTTGATTCAAATGGGAAATATGGAGCCCTTCCTACAAAGAGCCCAATGTCGCTTTTATATATTCAAAAAGTGGCCTCTGGTCACTTTTTCGGAGTAATGAAATCTGACCAATTTCACAGTCAACAACGATACTCAAATGCCAAAAATCACGACTGCCATCCTTTTCATAGATGTCCAGAAGGAGCACTGTCCTTATGTAAACAATTGATCTATTTCACTTTGTACTTGTGTGTATTGTCCTTGCCATTAAAGCATGGGGGTGCACAGAAGCTGAAAACTGCACAACACCACCATAAATGTTTTCGAAAACATTGGCGTCATTCAGGTCATCTGCGTTTGTCAGAGCTTTGGCTTTCGTCTGTGAATGACTAAACTTCGTCACTCCATAGTAGGTGGCTGATGGATGCCAGCTTTGCCTATGGCTCATAATACAGGCTTTTACACTCACCAAGGGTCCTCTTCTTTGAGGAGGTCTGGCAGCACACTGACCAACGCTATGTTCAAAAAGCCTCCAGAAGTGAAAGGCAGTATCCAGGATGTGGATGTGTCTGAAACATAAATTACAGGTACATGTTTTGCAATGAATCAGCCTTTATTTTGACAGCTCGATGTTGGGACAAAAAGCAATGCCACATTACTGCAAAAGTTGTACTGAAAAGATTGGGTGAGGGGGGTAACAGGTGAGCTGCACTTTCGGTAGCACACAGATTTGTATTTAAGGCTCTGAAAATAGTCAGGCAGGGTTGTTTTCTGTCTCCATACTTACCTAAGTTTTACACAAAATATGTACTCGGAAACTATAAGTTAGAATACAGAGGTACAGTAGTGAAAAACTGGAGGAACACAGCTACGCAACTTGCAGTATACACATTGAGAAGGCTGGTCTTTTTCTAAACATTAGTTACTAAAGGATGACAGCTGCATACACTCCGTGCACGGCGACTGGCGCGCCGCCCTGAGGCCGTCAAAGCAGACAGCCGTTGAGAGCCCAAGCAGAACCAAATCAACCAAACACTCTCCCAATGCCCGCTAGCTCATAGTTTATCGGAATTGTGGACCGTTGCGTAGTCAATTGCATCGAAATGTACACGTCGTGTCCTGCGGGAACGACCATTCTACAGTTTCTCGATTCATCTCTGCTTTATTGGGCAATGAAATAAGTGGAAGTGGATCACGGTTGTGAGACGTAAAAAGTGTTTGGTACCCACTCGCTCTATCGTCTCTCGTTCTGCCACTGCATATTTCAATTGGTCTCAGACATCACCTCTGCAGGTGCAATGACCTTTTGTGATCTTCCTGCTGCCATAGAGCTGGGGAGAAAAGAAAGTTATGCTAGAGATTTTAATTCAGCTCAAGGCTGATAGAACGCATCAATGGACTTAATAATTATTAACTCGCCGTCTACCCTTCGCAGTTTTAGTGAATGCAATACGAGGTCAATCGGTGCTTTACTGGGTTTATAGGACTATCAGTCAAAGGGCGAACTGAGTTAACCAGCATATTACCGTAAACACAACTAGCCACCCAGGAGCACTTTGCGAATGGTGTAGGATCAAGCTAAGGCTTCAGTTGGTTGGTTAGTTGGTAGACCCTTATTAAACTGGCACAATCCACAACGGTGGAACGGCCATGAAATTGGCGGTACCTTGTTTGGGGGTAATCTCAAAATTCTTACAATAGATCGTTTTTGGAACAAGTAATTAGCTTAACTCACAAAAAAAACACTAATATTGTTGAAGAATACACTTGATTTAGATAACCTTAGCATTCAATTCGTTTCGTCCCGCGCAGTAAATCACATTCGTTATGGCAAACGCTCCACTGTCTAAAACCTAGTGCTGTAGCCTCAAAGGAAAGAAGCCCCGGAAGTCATAAATTGAATCCCATCCTTCAGAGTGGTTCATCCAGAAGTTTTTTCTTTCATTGGTAGTTTATCTGCATGTTAGGAAGAAATGATGCAGGGCGTAGAGAAACAGAAATACGGAGTAAAAAATGAAGCTTTTCAAATACTGTAGCCACAGATGTGCATGTCAGTGTTTGTTCCGGAAAGCAACATAAACAACGCAAGAGATTGTAGTGAATAAGAGAGACGAGATGATGGCCAAAGCGACCGTGCCTTCATCGTTGCCACTTTGCAAGGTGAAGCGAAAGACAAAACAGGGCTGCGGTGTCCTCTGTGGCCGAAATCGCAGCGCGTTCTCTTCCTCGCTCGCGCCTCAAGCTCTTAGCATAGCTGCGCAAACGGTGAGATAAAGACCATGAGACCATGATAATGATGAGCGAGCTAGGATGATACCGTGACATTTTCAAGCAAACCAATTCGCGAGACTCGGTGGCTGGAAATCTCCGTGGCACGAAGCCACAAAAAACGAGCATGCCGCCAGCCACTCACTATGATTTCCACAGTAAATGGCCATGTCGCCACTAATATTTCTGAATGCTCCGAGTACTTTACAAGTACACGGGTAGTGGGCACACATCAATAATAGTCTAAGTGTAAAAAAATGACAGCTTACTGTGACACTTATGAAGCAAGCATCTTGCATTGCGCACACTTGACGCACACATTCGCCGTCAGTATTGGCCGCGAGATCGAGTAGAGTCGCCCCCTGGCGGCAACTAGCTGAAAAGGCTAAGTGTGGATGCTCCCTGAATCGTCTCCTAACCACGTGTAGTTTGCATGGGGGAGTAGTTTATCGTGCATGTTTGTGAAGGGTGGTTTGTTCGGATCTGTTTGCACGAGCTTAACTGCTTGTACGTATGCCTCAAAGTATGCCTGAAAGCACTTATGAAAGCATTTGGTCTTGTTCGGCTGGTAATGCACGGCAATAAGATCAGCGATGTGCAGCTTTCCTGAGTGCTGTGTATTGTCGTCGTACCCTTCATTTACCAGAATCATTTCAGTGAGGGTGCCGTTTTCTGCTTCAAGCACATCGTAAAATGCACTTGGCTTCGTCTCAAACATGACGACTTAAATTGTGAGTGAATGTTGCATTTGAGCGACTTGGTTGTAAACAAAAAAGAGGCTCTAGGCCACACACTTGCACCTTGTTGTTAGGTGTATAACTACGGCACTGCATATAGTTCATCTACTATGCGATGAGCTTTAGTTATGCAGATCTGGCCATGGTTCTACAACAGCAAGGTAATTTTATAAAGTAAAACGTGACACTTCAGTACTTGAACTCTTCTTAAAATGGAGTTGCCGAGTGCCATTTTTTAACTTGGAGTGAAATTTATGGGGCACTATTTAAGCTGAAACACCTGTGTGCTTAGATTTAAAAATTTCAGAATTGATTCAGATGGCGTGCCTTACATTACTGTGGTATAATTTGACAGAAAATGTCATCTTTTTTGGCACTGTCTTGAGCGTTTGTGTGGCCTTGATATTGACTGACGGAAGCTAGGCAGCGGTCTTTTTTCAATTGAGAAAGAAAGATGAAAAGGAAAACATGTTTGTTCTTCCCATGAAATAAGCAGATCATTGTTTCATGACTGTCATACGCACGTAATCATTCGATGAAAGCTTTTTGCAGAACTCTTATCAGCTTTTGATAGTTTTACTGGTGCACGGGCATGTGCATACGTAGTAAACATCAATGTAACGCAAAGCGCTGTCAGCCACGAAGCTTTCCTAGCTAAACTTATCGACTGTCCCACATTTTGTGGGGAACAGAATGAGGCGAAAATGCACATGCGTATTCGGTGTGAACAGTGGCATCGGACGCGTCACATCAATATGAGGGATAGCTTTCCTTCTCTTTCTTTTATAATATTCAGATGAGCAGGATGTTAGTAAGTTATTCAGTCGTGCAAGAGGAGTGCTTAGTAGGCAGAACATAAGTGAAACGCATACAAACAACACAAAACAAGCATAATTTAGTGCGAAAGTATGCAGTCAGCTAGCCAGGGCAAGCTTGACTTGCTAGTAATAGTAACCTTGCATAGGCTTTGTGCGTCGATTCGGCAGAGAGGAGCATAAATATTACCAGTAAACTGCAGTCAACACATTTATTCAGCGTCAATCGGCTCACACCATACACAGTGAAGTGCCACTGCGTGTATTTGTATACATGCCACCGACCGCCTATCCACACTTCCACGGGGACAGTGCTGCCCCCTATAGCCCGATCTCATCGCCAATACTGATGACGGGCAGCAAAGCGCTCACTAACGTGGAAAACGTAGCCGCTTTCGGGAAGGTTTTCCCATTTATTCATAGTGGCATTGCAGAAGAACGTCTCCCTACAATATCTTAAAATCCTTCTCGGAGAACCAACGCGCCAGCCACTGGCGCTTTTGTTGCCATAACTGTCAAAAAAATGATGTCCTGCTGTCTGCTATATAATTCTCAACGTTTCGCGCCCGCTGCACCACAAGTGGCGCTGCGCGCGGCTTTCAGAGCGCCCCTTATAGGTCCCAAATGGAGTGTATAAGATTTTACTCAGATAAACAATAATGCACTGCAGAACGCTTAAGTTTTTCTAATATTCAAAATTGACATATATGACGGCTCTACAAAAATTAAGCATAGAACGTACAGCATAAGAACAGACAGCAATCAATGGATTTTTAACTGAAATATGCCAGATTAATGCTGCAGTGTTTCCTGTGACGATGTATGAGCGTGAAATGTGGGCCTTTCAGGAAAATAAATGATAAAGCTTTTTAAGCTCCGATTATAGCATAGTGTTAGAAATATGACTGCCAAGCAAAGCGACATCTTGGTCATTAGTGGTATATTAAACTAGAGCGTTCTTTTGAAGCAAATGACCTTCACCAAAATGTTTAAAATGTTGTATTTTTAAGTCATGTACTGGACTGCCTTTTTATTTTGGTTGTGCCATGAGGGCTGCCAGTTCAATGGTACCCCCAGTGTTCAAGATGGCATTCTCTGGGTGACAGAGATCTCAGTGAACTTAAAGATCTCACCGGCATGTATATACTCGTTTTATCACCTGGAGTTGACACCAATTTGATGGCACTTACCGTATAAACCGGAATATAAATCGAGATTTTTTCAGTACAATAATAAGCTAAAGTCGCCCCTTGTCTTACATAGCGGTGTCTAGCCGAAAGTGCAACTCCGTCTGGCAACATATGGCTTGCATGTGCTTGTGAAGCCAGACGCGGCTATATCCGCATCCAAATCCAATTGCAGTCTGTTTTCTTTGTGTTCGTGATTTGCTTCTGATCTGTTCCGAGTTATCGCTCCGCTTGACATTGCGCTGCATTTTTGTGGCCTTTTTTTTTTTCGTTCACTGAATATGTTTAGCGGTGCGAGGAGGCAGTACTCAGCTGCGTTTAAACTAGATGTTAAGTTCGACATGCCCTAACGATGGTTTGACATGCCTTCGTCGACCACGATCATGCAGCACGGCGCCAAGGATGTGAAGCTGCTGTCCACTGGCAACGAGCACTCGCGCTTCACCGTCATGCTGGCATGCACGGCAGATGGTAGAAAGCTTCCGCCCTTCGTCATTTTCAAATGCAAGACAATGCCGAAGGAAGTGTTCCCGCCCGGTGTTGTCGTTCACGTCAACAAAAAGGGATACATGGACGAGGCCATGATGCTCGAATGGATACGAGTGGTGTGGAACCGTCGGCCAGGTGCACTGCTGCGTCTTCGCAGCATGCTGGTGTTGGATGCGTTTCGTGGCCACTTGACCGACGCAGTGATACCAGGTGGTATGACGTCCACCCTCCAGCCGCTCGACGTTGTACTAAACAAGCCGTTCAAGGACCGAGTGCGGCTGGAATACCAACAGTGAATGTCCTGCGACAACCCCAAGACACCGACGGGCCGCCTACAGAGGCCTCCGCTTGCGACTGTTTGTGGCTGGGTGCTTTCTGCCTGGCGCTCCTTGCCGGATTCCATGGTGGAAAATTCTTTCAAGAAATGTTGCATCAGCAACTCGCTGGATGGCACTGAAGACGACGCACTGTGGGAGGCGGCCAGCGACAAACTCTCGTCTTCAGAAGACAGTGGTGCTTCGTCGGACGAATAGGGGCAGTTGCGATGGTGGTAGAGGGGAGCTCCGACGATCGGGATGCGGTGCACCAATTCGCGAATAAATGTGGTTCGGCAGTTTTGGGTTGTTTTCCTTTTTTTTTTTTTTCGGTAACCTGAACTTGGGGGGTCGGCCTATATTCCCACTCGACCTGTAGTCCGGTTTATACGGTAATTAACACAAACTAATGGCTGAAGTGATAAGCACGATAGTAGCACCTAAATTTAACTTAAGGTTCGATAAAAATCGCATATATACCCTATGGACTGACACATCAGGGCAACACACTATGCAACCTTGACTAGGCATGGCCCTTCCATAGGTTAAGAACTTTTGGTCCAACTTTGCAGACTACAAGGCCTTTCAGGGACAATGAGGCTTTGGCAGGTCAATTTTGAAACACTATGTTACTCTTTCAAAATGCTAAGAAAAGATTATTATTAATATTATTATTATTATTGTTGTTATTGTTATAACAAGAAAAATTTCATAATCCACAGCAATCTGCCCTTTTCCTCTCTAATTTCACGGCACCGCAAAAGTAAACTATATGCTATACACAATGAAGTTATTCACTCATTCATGCACAAGTAACTCTAGCACTGCTACCAAGCAACCAGAAGCAATAGAGGATATTTAGATTACTACACCACCTCACTTTTGTTAATTCAGCTTTGAGGGGCACATGTGCAATTTCACTAAAGCCGAACCAGCGCCAACTTGAAAGAAGGCAAGCTCCATTGAGTCCAAAGAACCATAAAAGAAAACAGCCAACTGATGCAGAAAACAATCAAATTTATCAGTGAATAAATTGGGACAAAACATCTGTAAAAGAACTGATCATAAATCCATTTACAAACATAGCCAAATCACTGTGTCATTAAGAAGAACATTTGTGAAAGACAACAGAAAAACCACTAACAATGCTTAAACAACACAGATTCATGTCAGTAAACGATAAAAATATGTGCGTGAGAGGAACAAAAACCATACCACCATAAGAAACCATGCTAGAGGATTTAAACTGCCAGGTCAAAGAAATGAGATAACCCACCTCAGCCTTGACACAATGAACGATAATTTTACTAGTATCATCAAAGAGTGTGCAATTGAAGTTGGAGGTACAGTCACTAGGCAGGAAACTGGCAAACTATCTCAGGAAATGAAAAATTTTATTAAGAGATGACAAACGATGAAAGCCTCAAATGCAACAGTTATGTTGGGCCACGCGAAGGATGGCCAGTCGGTTGACAGCGCTCGACGAAAAGGGAAGGTAATGAAAAGAGGCTGCCCAGACGCGGACTAAGCCATTCTCCTCGGAACCCGTCTTTGTCATCGAACCCCGTGAGCCTTTGTTCACTGCACCTTGTGCTGGAGAGTCACCCACAGGGCTGTAGCGCTCTCACGGTGAGCCAGACTGAGAAATAAGTGGTCGCTGTCGCGACATGGCTCCCGACAAGATAATGTGACGCCATGCTGTAACAATACGGGTGGATATACGGCAGAATCGTGTCTACTAATGCCAGACAGCCGACTGGCCGTCTAGACAGGCTTGTTGTCGCACGAAAGTATCATTTAAGCTGTACGTCATTAAAATGACAGAGTTCTTAGCCGATGCTCGGAGGATAGCAAAGTGTGGGAATGCAGAGGCGGAGACCCATTTCGAAGCAAAGGGCAGTTGTTTGCTCCATTGGTGGAGCATCGAGTAGGGGTTCGTCCCACGAGGCAGTCTCAGATGAGACGGGAGGTATTTAATGAAGAGAAATGGAGAGAAGGGGAGCTAGGTGCTGGAGAACGAGATCGGGAAGCGGGAACACAGGTCGTGCTTAGCGCAGACTCTGATCCAAGGTTGATACTACGTTGAGGGGGACAGAGATCGTGCTTAGCGCAGACTCTGATCCAAGGTTGATACTACATCGAGAAGTTGGTGTCGATGTGTGGAGTATATGAAGGGCTCGGCAAGCAATGCCGACGTTGATATTAATACAGCCCAGTGCTTACTGTGCAGTCGGTGTAGTGGCCACCCCGGCCTTTGTTTGTAAATAAGTGTCAGTGTGTAAATAAACTGAAGTCTGTCAGGAAGTGAGCAAGCAGTACAGTCCTTCAACGTGTCGTCGTGATCATCTAAACTATCGGGATTACATCCATCATTCCAATCTTAACTGCAACCGACAAAATAGAGTTAGTGGAGCTTTCGAAGTTAATAAATAGGTGTAAGGTAGCTGTCATCAGGAGTTATAACATAAAAAGAATTGAGCAGGCTGTAAAGAGCCGCAGAAGCCTAAAAGCTGCGAAGGCAGACTTGTGCGTACGTAAAAATCGGCTGTATGCAATGGGGAACAAGGAAGGCAATGTCAACCAATATCAATTTAAGATAGTGGAAATGGCGGAGGTGTTCTACGAAAAAGTGTACAGAAGTCAAAAGAACCAGGATGATATTGTGATAAACTATAACAGTCCAGGAGAATTCGACATCCTACCAGTAACGACAAAGGAAGTAGGGAAAGCCCAAGAAGGAATGCAAAGAGGCAAAGCTGCCAGTGAGCATAAAGTAACAACGGACCTCCTGAAAGATGGCAGAGAAATTCTGTTAGAAAATTAACCACCTCATACACAAAGTGTCTCTTGACAAGAAGGGCACCAGAATCCTGGAAGAACGTCAACATCATCTTAATCCATAAGAAAGGAGACGTCAAGAATTTGAAAAATTACAGGCCAATCAGCTTACTGTCCACTCTCTACAAACTATTTACAAAAATAATAGCTAATAGAGTTAAGGCGACATGAGAGCTCAATCAACCAAATGGACCAAGCAGGATTTCGAACAGGCATCTCCACAACAGACCATATTGATACTGTCAATCAGGTAATAGAGAAATGCATGGAATGCAACTAACTCCTATACATAGCCTTCATAGATTACGAGAAGGCGTTGGACTCAATCGAGACATCAACAGTAATGCAAGCACTACGAAATCAGGGCATAGACAAACCCTACATAAACATACTGGAAGAAATATACAGTGGATTCACAGCCACCGTAGTTCTCTATAAAGAAAGCGACAGAATCCCAATAAGGAAGGGTGTAAGGCAGGGAGACATGATCTCTCCAGTGCTATTCACCGCGTGTTTACAGGAGGTATTCAGGACCCTAGACTGGGAAAAGTTAGGGATAAGAGTTAATGGAGAGTACCTTAGTAACGTGCCATTCGCTGATCACATTGCCTTGATGAGTAACTCAAGGGACGAATTACAGCTCATGATTACTGAACTGGACAGAAGCAGAAAAGTAGGTCTGAAAATTAATATGCACAAAACTAAAGTAATGTGCAACAGTCTCGACAGAGAACAGCACTTTGCTATTGGTGGAGAGAAGCTGGAATTTGTAAAGGAATATGTCTACTTAGGACAGACAGGTAGTAACCGTGAAGCCGAACCATGAGAGTGAAATAACTAGGAGAATAAGGTTGGGGAGGATCACATTCGGCAAGCATTCTCAAATCATGAATGGTAATCTGCCTCTAACCCTCAAGAAGAAGGTACATAACAGCTGAATCTTGCTTTTACTTACCTATGGAGCAGAAGCCTGGAGGCTTACAAAGAGGGTTCAGCTTAAATTGAGGACGACGCAGCGAGCAATGGAAAGGAAAATGATCAATGTAACCTTAAAAGAAAAGAAGAGAGCAGAGTGGGTCAGGGAACAAACCGAGGTTAAGGATGTCATAGTTGAAATCGTTTGAAAGAAATGGGCATGGGCCGGGCACGTAGCACGTAGGCAGGATAACTACTGGTGATTTAGGGTAATTGAGTGGATTCCCAGAGAAGGCAAACGCACGAAGGGGAGAGAGAAAGTTAGGTGGGCCGATGAGATTAAAAAGTTTGCGGGTATAGAGTGGCAATGAAAAGCACAAGACCGGGTCGATTGGTGGATTATGGGAGAGGCCTTTGCTCTGCAGTGGGTGCAGAGTCCGGCTGATAATGGTGATGATGAAAGGTAAGTTTCTAGTCACAGAGTCTGATGGAAGGCACACTGACACTGTACATTTATCGCCAGACTTCAGGATATGGAAAGATTATACTATTTCTCTTTCATTTATATCCCGTGAACACTTAAGGAAAGCAGTGCACGCAGATTCTGAAATGCATCCACACCTCTAACAAGAAACCGTGTGGCAGATGCCTCCTGGTGCACTGCATGCAGCTCTTATTACAAGTGAGGCGGCAAAATTTATGAACTTTTCACAGGGCAGAAAGCATGATATTCACATGGTACTTCGAAGTTACTTATACATGAGCCACTCAAATATAACTTTAATAAGGTGAATAAAACAAAGGAAACTGGAGAACGATGATCAGGAAAGAAAAAAAGCAATGCTACAGCACTGCTTCTATGAACACAGCACATGGAAAGACATAGCTGCTGATGGTTTGGAATTGTCACATAGTCATTCACACTTCGATCTAGCAAAGCCTTATTATGAACACGATATTACTGAGCACAAAGCAGACAAAGCAGAGCTCACCCATGTCTTCAAGTGAGTCTGCAGACAAAGCAGTCACTGCACCGGCCACCCCAACAGCTGCTGTGATGACTTGGGCCTTGGCAGCATCCCATCGGTTGAAGCCCGATTTTAAGAGTATGGCGAAGTCTCCAACTTCGTGTGGAATTTCATGTATAAGAATGGCCAATGTAGTCACCATTCCCATCTGCAAGAACAGAAAAGTATTATTCATAAATTAGAAAAACTAAGCAATAGTAGTACTTTCTCCTGTCAGATATAATATGATTACATGCCAACAGCACAGACATAATCTTAGCTCAACATGTGTTATCTGTCTGAAGTACAAAATAGTTTCTCACATATCCACTTTATAAAAGTGGTCTCATGTAATTCAATCCTAACTGCAAATTTTGATTGATCCTTTTTAATAACATGTAATTCACAGCATAACAGAAACTCACTTCTAAACTGCACAATTAATGATGTACAAGTCGTGATGAAAGTTCTATCATCATAATGATATTATAGACAAACTTCCAACCATACATACTGTAGATATTAAATCAGTTCCTTCTGGAAATGAGATTGAAAAAGGCTAAATTTAGCAGGGCCAGGCAGTATCATGATACTATTGGGTATCTGTGGTTCTGTATAGATATACATTTGAAGAATGTATTTGTATTGCAATACTTGGTGGGCATGAGTTTCTCGTTACATTTTGTGTCATAAGTGATTTTATGAGTATTCAAAGGAGAAAGGGACATTTTTTTGTGTACTTAAGCAAAGCCAAGGTGTGCAACAAGTTGGCAACACAGGGAGAGTGGAGAAAGGTTCCCGACATGCACAGAATGGCCTATGTGGTAAAGTGCCCGAAGTCACTGATGGCGTCATTATGAAGGTAGTAATGTCAGCCTTGCTGACAATGTCGCTATCTCTCAAGCTGGTGCAGCACCTGTGATTTTTTCGAAGGGGGGGGGGGGGGGGCGTGTGCTTTCTCTCAATTCACTGGTGCTCATCGGTGATATGGTTTTCTTGCAAGTTTCAATGTGCTGTAACATTCTTCACAATATATATGTGGCACTTAATAAATGGCTTTTAGGAATATCAGCATCCCCGAAATAAAATTTAGGCCAGTATTTGTATTGATGTATGTGTATTCTGGGATACTTCTTTAGTTATTTTTGGCTGACGTATCAATGAAATATCCAATTTCGTCAAAGATAAATGTACGTAAGTATCTGTATTTTAGACTTCCAGCGTGTGTATTTCGATATCTGTATTCCGGAATACTTTTCTGTGTGTCTCTACCCAGCCCTAGAATTTAGTAGTGCAGTCAAGACGTTTATTTGTTTCTATGGGTTGATGACGCAGGGTTCGAGGCAGGTGTAGGTCCCACAGTCAGGTTGTTTATGCTTGGCCGATAAGACTACGAAGCTTGACCTGGCAGGTAGTGCCTCGTCCAGGCTACCTTCATTCCCAAGAATGACTTATACTCATGTGGTCACTCATTGAATATCGTGCATGGACCTCTTGGGCACGGGGGTCCTTGACTATGCTGCTCTGCTCGGGTTCTCACGTAGACCTGCCTAGTGGGTAGTGCATCAATCGATCTACTGACAGCGATCATCCTTAACTCACCCGAGGCCGGCCTCAGCTGCCCCTTTTTATGGTTCCTCTTTGGAGGCAGAGGTTATTCACCTGCTCCATAGTTGCTACCCTTATTGCCATCTTTCAAGGATTCATGCAGCTACTTATTTTCCATGTATATCCCATGCAACAGTGTAGTACACCTTATTACAGCCTGATCCACTGACCTAGTGTGATACAGAATATTACTGTCTTCAAAATGCCACGTCTAAGCCATGAGCGAAGTTCTCAGTGCCATTTGCCATAAGGTTTAGGTTTCAAAGTGAATTATAACTCATTCTTCTACTGAATGGTAAACACATTTTAGTTTTTGATATGTGAACTTAAGAGAGAAAGTGAAAGAGGTGATTTTGTTTTTAGTGTTGCTTTTGTTACTACTTTAAACTAGAATAAAATTTTGAATGAATTTGCGGGTAAAAAATGTTGCCATGTACTTGGTACTACCAGACAAAATTACGGCAAGCATCAGAATCTGTCATGCTCTCCAGTGAAATCACTGAGCAAACAAATGAAAAGGTGGCTATGTTGTGAATTCAAGTTCAAGACAATTCTCATGAACAAAGATAATGGAGCTATAAAATTATGAGTGCATCTTAGGACACAAGTAGATCAAGGAAATGGGACAAATATAACTACTAAATATTTCATTAACAATCATTAACAACAGTTTTATTTATACCTATTATTCTCTATCTAGCTAAACCATCTCCTACAATGGTAACTAGTATTGTTTGCCCCTTTATTGACACCTTCAGAAAATATTCAAAGGTTAAATTGCTGTCATTAACCTTCCAAAGTACTTGCAAATATAATGCTTTTATTTCAAATAGATTTATTAAATTGAATATGTTGTTCTTACATTTATATATTACATTACAACGGACTAAATAACCCAGTTTTGATTATGGAAGCCTGCCCGCAACAGAAAAGTATTGATAGATATTGTTCAGTGGCCATATCAGGTAGCCATGGTAAGACAAGCAGAAACTGTGGTAGCTGTTCACAGCGCCATTCACTCCTAGCAAATGACAAGTTCTTCACTGAAAAAACTTGCAAAGACTTATGATATTTTTACCATCCTTCTTCTATATGCCCACACAATTTTACAGCAGGAATATATTCAACATTCAATGTCATATTAGAATTCTTTATTTTTCTAATACTACTCACATTTATCTGACAGATTTTTACTCAAAACTCCACACACTCATTTTTCACTGCAATGAATCACGTGACTGACATTCATTGATGTAAGTGACTAACCTTAATGCCAACAAGGAAACTAGCAGCCACTGCCAAGCCGTGAGTGAAGTTATCAATGCCATTTGCCATAAGGTTTAGGTAACCAGTAACCTGCAAAGTGGAGAAGCAGAGTGCAATAGTAAAGGCACAAGTATAACAACAGTTATGTTCAGTTTTATGCACTCAAGTGTAGCAAATACTGTATTAAAGACATTTTTATTGCTTTTTGGTGTGCATATAGAAATTCAAGAATATTGTATTTCATCCTGCTTGCACGTACATAAAGATGTTGTTGTAGTATAATGGTCCATAAACATCTTTCTAATGTTAACACATACAACTGTAGTGCATGAAATGCATTAATCGAAGTTTTTTCATGTTTACACGTCTTGATCCAAATTTATGTCTTTTGCAGTCAACAAAATAATATGCTACAAAACAGCAATTGTATGTAGCTATCATGTATGAAGTAAATTAGTATAGTTATATGAACATACAGCACCGAAATACATTTTAAGGAGATGCAGGGCTGAAGAGTCAACTTTGAACTCCTACAGTAAATTTAATGAAAATTTCAGAGGTGGCTTGTGATCTTGTTATTAGAACATATTCCAAATTTTGTTATCCTAGGAGGAATATTAAAATCTTATGGCTGTTAAAATGATCAATCATGTATTCCAAGTTAAGAAAACTGCCAGTTCAAAAATAATCAATATATATTAATTGTTTATCATTAGATGCCTTCTACATTGTTTGTGGAGCAGGATAAAGACAGTCACACATATTTTTTTCCGATGTTTTGGTAAAAATATCACTAAACTCGAAGATAATCTTGTCCCATTGTCATTGCATGTCAGACATCTGAAATTTTTCTCACGTCAGGAAATATTCAGCGATCAAAAAAATACAGTATCGCTACGCCGTTCCAACACGGCGCTCTCCGTTTCGCACTCGGCATCGCGTCGGGCTTGCTGAAAGACTCACTCGAATTTCAAGCGTGAATGGCTGCTCGAGTTGTCTGCTTGTTTGAAGACGACGAGAATGAATATTGGCGCCTCAGAACGTGCTCCACGTGCTGTTACTTGCGAGCTTCGCTGTTGTTTATTTCACCTGCGCATCAATACAAGAAGAGGAGCCGCACTGCGTGTCCCTTTGAGGTGCTCTGAAAGAAGCTGACGTTGAGCCATAGTCTAATTTCGCGTTTTCACCGAGCCAGTGGCTTGCACGGGCATGCGTTCTGTGGCGTCTGCCTCTTCTTTATCAATGGACGCAGCCTGTGCCGTGCTTGTGAACCAGGAGGATGCATCTCTCGTCACACTCTGCCTCTGCCCGCGCCTTTCGTCCAATGACACCGACGGTCAGCGGCGGCGTTGCCATGTCAGCCACCCTGAAGCGGAAGCGGCCGCAGAAGCAGTTGCAGGAAATGAAGAAGCCGACTTACAGCCGCGGCCTGAAGGCCTACTTTAGGCGACACTCCCTGGACATGCGAGCCCCTTGCACCGATGCCGACTCGCCCACTTCCAAGCGACAGCTTTGCTGGCTGGTTCGAAACATCGGCGTGTCGAATAGTTTCCTCAAGAACATCGGTCTGGAGCTGCGCGAGAACCGCCCGGGGCGTCTTTCCCTCTACACGTTTGCGCGTTGCGACCCGAGCATGAACGACTACGGCTTCGTGTGCATGAGGTTGCTTGCCGAGCTTCTCGCAACCCACCGTTGTATCTACTCCATGCACTTCGGCTACGCGGGCAAGCTGTTCAGCATGAAGATGACCGTGATCTAGCACCTGACGCCCAACTCTTCCATCGAGCAGTTCCACATTGACGGCCAGGCGATGAACAGCGACGAGATGTATACCTTCATCAGGGCAATGCGGCGGGCCAAGCCGCTCAGCGTGCAAGTGTGCAACATGCCCTTGCACCGCTGTGACGTGCACTCAATTTCCATCTATGTCGAGGTCACCTCGACTCTCCGCGAGCTGGCCCTAGTCAACACTGGCTTCAAGGTGGCCGACACCATCCTGCTCTTCAAGGCGCTCGAAAAGAGCAAGAGCGTCGAGTATCTACGGCTCGAAGTCAACACCGCTGGCATACGGGGTGCCAAGCAGTTCGCAGCCCTGCTGCGACAGAACACCACTCTCAGGTTGGTCACCCTACAGCGGGTCAAGCTGCAGGCCAACGGAGCTGTGGCCATAGCGGCCACGCTAGCTGAGAACACCACGCTCGTTTCCCTTCGTATCGCCAGCAACTCCATTGGGCCCGTGGGCGCCCGGGCTCTCGCCAAAACTCTCAAAACGAACTCCTTACTCTCGGTGCTCCACCTGCGAGACAACGCCATCGGCACCAGTGGCGCTGTGGCCTTTGCGACCACCTTGAAGGTGAACTCGAAACTTGAAGAGCTCCACGTTTGCGGGAATGTGATATCCGAGGAAGGCATTGTTGCCATCGCGGAGGCAGTCATGGACAACTAGTCGCTCAAGGTGCTGTCACTGTTCGCCAACACATTCGGCGAGGAAGGTGTGGCCGCGTTGGGCAGGCTCATCGCCTGCAACAGGACTCTGGTGAGGTTGAACGCGACCCTCGAGTCCAGCTACGGCGCTCCGCGGAAGCACCTCGACGCATTCGCCGAAGCCTTCGCGGCCAACACTGCCATCCGCGGTGTTCAGCTGTTCGTGTGGGGAACGCCCGCCATGAAGCAGCTGTCGCACATGCTGCCGCTCACTCAGACTCTGCAGTATCTCTGCGTGTGCACGTGCGGGCCCGAGATCGAGCAGTTGTGTGCCACCCTAGCTCAGAACAAATCCATCCAGGAGGTCGAGATCAACTGCTACCTCAATCTAGACGACGGCACGGCGCTGGCTCACCTGTTCGAGACTACCACGATGATCCAGGCGGTGACTATCACCAAGAGGGTGAAGAACACCTGTCTCATCCGGCTTTTCAACGGCATCGCCAGGAACAGCAGCATCTGGTGGTTCAGCGTGGAAGGCGGCAGCCTGACGTCGACTGCTTGCACGGCCATCGCTGCCGCCTTGGAGAGTAACAACACGCTTGCGTGCATCACGTTGTGACGGGCCATGGCGGAAAATTCGTGCCTGAAGATAGTGAGTGCTGCTCTGGAGCGGAACTGCACGCTCCAAATGATGTGCATGAACTACTCAGCTACCAGTTTGCCAGCGTTGGAGATCTGGCAGCGACTCCGGCGTAACATGGGCATGATGATGCAGGCCATCGAGTTTGCGCTGACCAGGAATGTCAGTAAGGCCTTGGCGGAGGCCTTCGAGATGTGCAAGGACACCTCTTTTTTTCTCCAGGAGCTTGCCAAGTCGAACGGCAACCAGGGTAGGCCTGCTGCCTCGGTGTAATCAAGGAGGGGGAACGGTTTATCAAAGAAAACTACTTTCAAATAACGGGAGTCGTCAAAAGAGACATCGTGTGCGTCAGGAGGACGAGGAAGAAAAGGAATACCACCATGTTCGACAACCTGAACAACTACTGCTTGCGGGAATCGTTGTCCTACCTTCGGGTTTCCGACGTGCAGCGTTGAGCTGCGGTATGAGTCTCGCTGTTTTTTTTTTTCTTCGAAAGGGAAGGGGTGGGGGGTTGTTAAAGTTAACTTAACCCTTTTTGTGTTTTGTTGTCTTGTTCTGCAAATGAACGACTGTTTTCCTTTTTTTTTTGTGGTGCCTTTGTATAAAACATCTTCGAGTATTTACCACTCTATATTACAAGTCTGATCATTACAACTAGGCGTTACATTTACTAAATTTCGCCGTGGTACGAAGCTCTGCATTGTTTGAGTTTGCACGAAAGCTGATAAGCAAAGCTTTGTGCTGACGGTAATAGTACCTTATCTTGTTCCTGACAAAATTTCCGTCAAGAAACAACTGTGTAAGCAGGTATAAGTGAAACTGTTAGGAAATGATAGTTTTCCTAACAGGCTCCTTCTCTCCAAAAGTTCAAACCAAAAAAAATGAATACTAAGATTTCACTGCATGCTATTTATTTTTACAGTCAAAATAGATTAACCAAAGGGACCTTTTACACAGTCAGAGACTTCCTTTTCAACATGACGCTATACTGTGACAACTGTATCCAACTGTCATGTTTCAAGCCGTGAATGTTGCTCACAACACGTGTTCCCTCCCCACAACACAGGCCATCTGCTGATTGCAATGAGCTCGCAGGAGGAAAAACAGATAAATTAAATAGCACCCTAATGCAGCTGGAGTAACTCAGAATTGGCATGAGACCAGCGCTGGATGGTCCTGAGCTATGTTTTCGCCAATTCAAGCTTCAGTTCAGGTTTGCTGGTTTAAATTTATTTCTTTGTCCTCTAGTGTACTCTCGACAGAAGGTCTACCATAACTAAATGGCACAAAAAAAGCACGTTCCAACATGGGAATTGCCTTTGCCTTCGGCTTCTTTACGAGCTTCGCATCGCGTCTTGAAAACAGCATTTCAGAAATGCTTTTGACAGCAAACATGTACCACTTTATTCTTTTCTGTACAGATAATAACCAAAGTTGGTGAGCATGTTCTTTATTGAACCAGCGATCCAAAACAACTTAACTTTGAAAATGGCTAAAATCATTTTTTTAGCCACACACACTCACTTAATACTTGCTTCATGTAGTAATGATAAAAATTTTGGTTTTTTTTTTTTGTGTGTGCCAATTAAAACCACTGTTGCAACTTGTGAAGAAGTTGCTGCGCTCACAAGTGGGGCAGTTCTTCGAGACCCGTTTGGCCTAGCCTGAATACCCACAGATCAAAGATGAGTTTTTTTGTCATATTAAAGCATTCAAGTTCTCTACCAAAGGGGTCTGCCTCTTCAAAGTGGTGCCAAAACCCAGGACTTTCAAACACAGAAGCCAGGGTTGTAAACTTGCAAGGTGGGCATTTGGACGACGCAACCGGAAGATTTTGGAATTTCAACTCCATAGAAATGGAATCACTACAAAATGTTATGAACAAGAGTGATCATGCTGACATCCATGGGTGATCAAGTCTGACTCCCGTGGAAGACGTATATTCTATGTGACGACTACAAGGCTGCAGCACGAGACGGCACAATCAGATAACAAGGAGGCGACTTCGAAACTCCAAGTTACTTACAGCTTATCACACTGTTGCCTCCGACTATGGCAACAGTAAGGTAGGAGCAGTCGATGACATGAAAATTGCAAAAGACCCAATATATTATATGTCTCACCATGTCGTTATCAAAGACGACAGGTCAACAAAGACACATGTTGTCTTCTTTTTCACATGAAAAAGATTACAATTCTTAGTTAAGAGTACTATCTAGAACAGAGTAGTAGACAGTTTTAGATGAACTGCCATTTCTTCAAATCATATCATCGTTGCACTTTAGAATTCATAATATTAGCATTGACTACAAATGGTGCATCAGGAAGGAATGAGAAGAGTCTTCGGAACACCAAAATAAGCTCTTCTTAGAGTACAAATGATCGTTGCATGTTTGGTAAAGTCCAGCTAGCCAAATGACATAGCCTGTTGCATTATGCAAGTTCTCATGTTTTACACTTATATTATGCATGTGGAAATGATATTTATTGTACCTGTGCACCAATTCAGTGTTTATTTATATGAAGTTTATATTGCGAGATTGTATTTATAAATAATGCACACTTATAAATAGTGGTATTTTGATTTGAAGACCAAGCAGAACAGGGCCCTATTCGATTCAATATTTGATTTTTGTAATCACTATTCTAATCACATTAAGTTGAGAAAAAAATGTAAATTAAACTTTTGACTGTCTCACACAACACAAATTTGCATCTAATTAATATGTATCTGGTATGTAAAGTTCAGTAAAAAGTTTTCAGAAAAATTTTATTGGTACTTTTTATTTTCTATTAATACCCACACTCTAAAATATGATCAAGTAAAATGGGTGTCTTTCTGTCCCACAACAATAATTGTGATCCAGCTTGCCTGTGCTTCCTTTCTTGAACACTCAGCACTGGCCACTTTCCTATCAAGAATGCTATGCCACGCTAATAACATGCATGTCATTCATGACATGAAAGTGCCAGGCAAATGGTGATAATGCAAGAAAAGGAACGCCAGAAGATGACGATTATTGTTGTGGCACAAAGAGACACCCTTTTACTCAATTATTTCTTAGAGTGCATGTCACTTACTTTTACACCTTCTCTTTTTGCTCTCAGGTTGCACATGATCTAAATGTAATTTCACAAGGCTGTCACCGTGAAAAGTTGTACAGCAGTGCACTACAGCTACAGCTAAAGCTTCACAGAAAATGACAGGTCACACGAGTCAGTTGCTACAATGCTAAATATTGTTATAATATAAATATTCCCTTGCATCTTGATAACTGTTGCTGCTTATCTTGGCCTATAAGTAGAATAGCACAGATAAGCAAAAGACTACGCAGTGAATTAAAATGAAGTAGTCTGACTAACATCAGTGCACTAGACATCTTACCAGTTGGCTCAAGCATGTAATGAGAAGGTGTGGAAAAGTCAGGCTCATCCAAAAAGTGAAACATGGGTAGAAAATAGCAATTTATAAAGCTATATAAACTAATATTTGTATTGGCTCTATGTAGTATTGCCATGATCATTTGCAAGCTAAATAAATTAACGAGCATGATGAGTTTTTCCTCAGGTAAGTAGGAGCACACCTCACTAGATGACTCCAAGCACTGCTTTTCAGAATGCCAGTTTGATCAGTAATGCAAGCAGAAGTGAACAAATGCATTAAGCTGCTTCTCTTCTTTGACATTCCTCAAGTTACAACACTAGGCAAGCAGAAATCCGGGGATGCTGGCCGAGACAGTCACACAAAGCTGCCAACTGCCTCAACTCCCTCAGTTCACTGAAACACCGCAAATTACTTGCAAAATTGGGCATGCAATGCTTTCTCATGAGTTCTGCAGTGCAAAGTACACTGAGCTTTGTGACTTTGGCATCTCCATGGCAGACTCACTATGAAAGAGATGTAAACTTTGCATCACTCTCCTGCACTGCCCCCTTCCCCTCCCAATTTCCTGCTTGGATGCGCTCGCTTGATCACCATCCTTCCCAGTTCCACACAGGGAGATTAAAAAGCGTCCCATTGGTTACCCAGCGCTGCGCAAGATTAGGGAGAAAAAAACACAGCACTAATGCAAGCTACACAATGACTCAGTGTCACGTCACAACGAAAGTAATTAGGGTGAGGCTGGCACTTGCCTCTTCGTATGCACACACGTGGTAAGAGGCTAACATGCTCACGTGAATGGCTTTGAAGTTTTGCACTGTTGAGAATGGCTTGTCAAGACCATTCCGGTGGACATCAGAGTGGGAAAAAGTTTGCTCCACATTGGGCCCTGTGGCTGAGAAGACCAGCTCGAGTATGATGAAGGTAAAGACACCCAACAGCACCCACAGGCCGAGTGTCAAGTGTGCTTGTGCGGGACTCTCGGCACCTGTTGCAAGCAGGCAGATTAACCATGAAATCATACTAATAAGCAGTCAAATTGAAACTACAGTGACAAGTAGTATGACCATGTAGGCTTCTCGATGCAGTATAATGATGAATTAGATACATAATGACACAGGGATAGAATAAATGAGAGGACATACAAATGCCATTTAGGACTCGTCTGTCCACTCGTTTTTTTTTTTTATGTCCCTGTGTTCACATGACAACTCAATAGAATCGTGATAAGGCATTAATCTCTTCTCGCTTTATAAAAGAAACATGGAATAACAACAAGATGGAATAAAAATAAAAATAATTAAGCCCACTAAACTGTTGGTGGCATGCAACTACATGGTCCACCAACGTGAGCAATAAAGCATGTCTACTTACTTCAGTGATATGTGAAGTCACTGAACAAGGAAAGTTAACGGAATGAATATTTCGACGAGGGTGTTTGTCTTTGTTCGGGTAACCTCTAGATCTTAGTCACACTTAACAAAGACAAGTCCCATTGTCAAAAATGTAAACTCCAACGACATTCCTTGTTGAATGAATGCATCATATCAAGACCCCATCTAACCTCGAACTTTAGTTTTATCTGGATTACATCATTTTGTTTGGTTACATTGCTTTGCATCATACACCATCACTCTTGTTTCCATACCATGCATTGACATTTACACAGCATCCTTTTTATTCAAGGAATCGAAATAACTTCCATTCTATGCAACTGTTTCTTTCAGAGTGCTATAAATAAATAGTACTTTGCCATGAAAAAATTTTTTGTCCTAAAGAAAACAAAACTATGCTTATAAAATTTGTGCCCCAGGTGCACTGTATAAATGGGGGTACAGAGTGAAGGCAGTAAAAAGTCACAGTTTCGCCTGAACAGCGAAGCAATAAATGCTATAGCAGCATATTCGAAAGCCTCGCAAATAATAGCAAGTAGCTTGAAACTTGCAGTGTGCTGCTCAAGCAAGGAGAACAACACACTGGATGCACACGAACTAACAGCTGTCACAGCTCAACACTCGCAGTGTGCTGCTCCAACACACAGAACTATGCATGAAACGAACACAAAGGTATACACAGGACAAGCTTGAAAACTATACCAGTTGTTACTCCATTGTATTTGAGTAGCATGCTGAAAGTCTTGACTATGCACAACCAACTGCCCTGCTTTGGCTCTTCTAACTAGCAGCTCACTCCTTTTGCAAACGCAGCCACTGCAGCGAGAAAAGTGACTTTCATGCACTTTGTAACTTCAACACAAACTTTGAGAATGAAAGCACAAAATGTTTAAACCACCCCTTCCACATGACAAGCGCACACACAGTGGTGACCATGTGGCAATACAGGTAGCAGGCACATGTGCACCAACACTCTGGTGCAAACAGAGAGGAGCGAAGACCTTTAAAGTGTGCCATTTGCGCCATCTCTTTTATGTACATAAATAGCTCGCCGTTGGTATATTAAGGGATGTATGTTTCATGGCCAATTCGCCTAATGCCATGCACTGTGGAGCAAAAAGGTCACAGGTTCAAATCCCTGGTAGGCGCTTGAGAAAATGTCTTTTCCAAATTATCTTCTTTGAGCCTTTTAAATATAAAGTAAAAGCTTGTTAATTCAACACTTCTTAATTCAGAAAATTTATTGATTCAGACATATACTCTAGTCCTTGCCAGTATATACATTAATCAATGGCGTCTAACTCTCACTAATTCAGCCATATTTGGCTGCAATCCCGCTAATTCGAATGCTCTTTGGAGCGCGCCAAGCACAAAGCACTGTAACTATGTGACATAAAGCAGCAAAAATGGCTTTCATGGTCAACCAAAACGGTCGCAAGCTTCCAGAAAAGACATGGTCACCCTCCACAACAACGTCATTGGTACGAAATAAGGTGTGGGTTCAGTGCACATTTCGGCTAAGAACACAGGGTTTTGAGCCACGTTGACATTGTGAACGAAGTCGTAAATGACGCGAATCGTGGCTTTTGTACAGCTGTTATGCAAACCTAATGAATTTACTTATTTTTCAAGCAAATGAAAGTGCGTCAATGAAACAGATATTTGTTGTTCTCTTGATACTTTTGATAATTCAATTAATTGGAACAGTTTGTCCGGTCCCGTGAAAATCGAATGAATGAGCTTTTATCGTATATAGATACACATACATATACTAGACATGAAAGTGACAGCAAAAAAACAAAAACTATGGACCATCTCCCTGATGGGATACGAAGCAGCCGCGGTGCGTGCGTACGGCGTTGACCTGGTTGAAACGGGCGTCAACGCAGGTGCTGGAAGATCAGTTTGAAGCAAAACTCGGTGTAGTGTTCACTCGAGTAAATGTTTGAAACGCAAAGACACGGGAGGCGGGAAACGTTGAAGACGCTTGCTCTCAGCTTCTTTGGCTCGTTTCTAGTCGGTCTTATCTGCGAGCTGTATCGGTGTTCTTGACTCGCACCCCGTCGGTGTCGCTGGTCTTCCACTGCCGACGCTTGCGTTCGGCTTCCCTGGAGCTCGCGCACCATCGCTGTTGACGTCGCCATTTGCAAACACGATCGGCTTCGATAACCCTCGCAACGCCGGCGACAGCCGGAAAGGGTACGCGCACACTATAGCGGGAAGCATGCCGCGACGGCGCGATCACGCGGCAAGCAGCGGCGCGCTGTCCACATAGTCGGCGGCACGCTATTCACGAGGCGCGTGCAGCGCGGGCACCCGCCGGCTCGCGGCTTCTCGCTGACAGATGGAGAGAGGCAGCGCGGGTGAGATGATGCCCACCTGCAAAGTGGGCTCGAGCGTTGGAAGCGGTGGAGATGGTGAGGCGAGAGAGATCTGACAAGCGGCAAGCACGTGGCAGGCGAGGGAGAGAAACGTCACCGCGCACTGCTAGGAGGGCGTGAGCTACTTGGCACCACTCCAACACCTGCGGCGAGGGGAGTGGTGCGGACGGAGGGACAGCGTTACACAGGCTACACAGCTAGGCTGGTCAAAGAGCTGCTTCGCACATAAAACAGCCGAGAGCGTCATCATTAGCCCCGAGAAGTTGGAATGGCGTCTCCTGGTGGGAGGCATGGGTGACGTCACTGCACGGACTCTTCGATGCCCACCGCCGCGCACCTACATAATGATGCGCTCGCTTCGTGCACTGCTGCGCCATTAGCGCTCGCTTTCTGCTCGTCTCAAGCTGCACATGAATGACTAGAACAGAATCGGTAATGTTCTCGGGTAAAAGAGTAAATTTTTACTTTTACTGGTGCACAATCGCGCGCTCTGCCGTAGGCAATGTGAAAGGGATGGACATGTCTATGTCGCGCTGCTAACCCAGATGATGGATTCTATTCCTGGTCATGGCAGCCACATTCCGACGGGTGTGAAAAGCAAGAACACACTTCTGCTTGGATACAACAACCTCGGTCATTGGCGCATATTCATGTCCCTTTGAAAGGGTTGACGCAATTGGGAAAGTTGGTGGGGATTCATTTCAGAAAGTGTTAACAGCGCAGGCTGTTGTCTCGTCCTTTTCCTAATCGTTCTATGCACTGTTAACAGCTTTTGCCATGTACTTTTGAGATGCAAGACACAATATTTACATTATTAGGTTGGGCCGTTCATGGGTGATTCCTACAAAAGAAGTTAAAGTTTCCCCTCCTCTAGGGTTAATTGTATTGAAGGAATCCACGTATCTACAAAGAATGCTTTCGCCGGTGTGCCAATTAATCCCCACGCTCGCATGCATTATTGAATCTCACAAAATATCTCGAATACGCTCGCCCTAGAATACCACGCACTGCTGCCGTTGTGTCCGTTTTTCGCGTGTACTATCCAGCCAACACGTTGTTCTGTTTCATGTTTCTCTGGCAATAATTTTGAAGCTTCATTTCACAGAAATTATTGAGGTAAAGTGCGATTGAGGTTATGTGCGATAATTTTCATTGCTGTCAGATTCTGTCTTCGTGCGGAATCGTAGCAATGGCGCTGTCGCACTCGTGACTGCCAGTTTGGTTATCCACCTTTTAAATTAATTTTTCTTGCAGTTGATTACCTGTACGTGGACATGACGTACGATACCAGTCGTCGCCTCATCGAGGCGAAGGTTGTTTAATTATTACTTGGGCCACGTCGCGGACTGCGCCATCGAAAATGTTCGTTTCAACTTCCTGGCGTTTATGTTGGAATCGTTGCTATCAGCGGTGCTCCGATGTGAAGTGAACACTACTGTTTGTGACGCGACGGTAGTCACCCCAGCATTTCACGCAAATCAGTGTATATGAATACACAATGCCTGGCAACTGTCAAGAAGAAACATGTACTACACATGGTCCGAGTAAACGGTCACATCCCAACAATCCCGAAATCGTTGTGTGTGCGACAGTACTATTTTGTTTATTTTTGCGAATATGTAAAGTTTCTGCTAACGGCAGTCAAATTCATGTAAATTCTCCGGTTAACGAAATCGCAATTATTTCTGTCAAATTGGTTGTATTATTCGCAGATGCAGGCGTAATGTGTACGGTAAAACACAGTGTATTATTTTCATTTGTGATACTTCGAAGCACACATGTTCTCATACCGGACTCTGTGCCTTTAGTAGTAATCGCGTTAGCACCGCTTAGCATATTTTCCTATAGCACCCATTCCTTGGTGCACGCAACAGTAACGACAATTTTCAGTCACAGCAATTATTTCGTTCGGACGGGAGTATGTCTATTCTAAGGTAAATTATGAAAACTTTTTTACAGCCTCGATAACTTTCACTAGTTACGAACTCTTTCACTTCGTGTCTTGGGAGATTCGCGTCACGCAATTGAGGAGTAATCACACAACATCATCGCGAAAGAGTGGGTACGCGGAGAGTGGAGAAAAAGTAGACGAGCGGCGGCGGAGAAGGCGTCCTTGCCGTGACGTCATATCGCCGCGACCACAGCGACGCCAGTGTTCGCTCTCGGGGCTAATATACTAATTAGTATCGCAGTAAAAGTAACTTTGGTACGAGAAA